GGAGGGCTTGTGAAGTGGCATGCCAGATGACCGTTGTTTGGAGGCTGCCGTGGTGCTTTCAGCATTTCTCCTCGTCGTTACCGGCCACGGGACGGTAACGACGAGGATTCCCAAGGATTCCTCTTCGACGGAAACCTTGGGAACAGCGACGCCCTCCTTCGAGGCGTAGAGAGTCTCGAGGATCTTTTCCATGTGCCCACCGACTTTCTGTGCTCGCGCTCTTGGTACAGGACCGTAATGTCTCTCAGCTTGCCGTAGTTGAAGTCCTCGTCCCCTTTCAAGCCGTCCACCCTGGCCTTCAGCTTGTCAACTTGACTCGTAAACTCTTCCAACTTGCGCGTGTTTTTTTTTTTTTTCATATTTAAAAATAAAACTGGAATTGACAGTCAAACTTACTTAAAAGAACCATATTATATTTCTAAACGGAATGATCATGCTTTCAAAATTAGAGAGCACCACGCCAGGACGAACACGTACGCCAACTCTTTTTTCGTTAAAACGACACAACAGTAGAATGAGCTGTCGGAGCTGCAAATTTACAGTAAAAATTAAGTTTTTTTTTTTTTTTCAGCACTGTAACTCCCTTGCTGTAACGCTCTTGGGCACTGCGCGCGGTAATCTCTGAATAAAGAAAAAAGTGTCGACCCCTCCAGCATCGCCAGGTATCCAGGTGGCAGCGCCGATGTGCTTTTGAGACGGGTCCCAACGCCTTTCTCGTCATTGGCTTGGTCGCGTGCACTGGCCTGTTGACGGCCACTTTGTGAATGTTGGCGATGCGGAAGGGCCCCGACGGATGCAGCCCCAGATAGGGATGCGCCGCCGGTCCTCCTCCCAGTATAGTATACTCCCGGCTAACGTAGTTGGCGCTGAAGAACTTCGCTTGAACCACTGGACAAACTCAAGGTTGTCCTAGAAGCGGCCCTTGATCATCCGGTTCACGGGGATGTGCTTGTCGACGCCGACGCTTAGGAAGGAGGTCTACAACACCTTAAAATTCTGGATGTACTCGTATTCCAGGTTTGTCTTGACCTTCACTTTCCTCAAGCTGACACAACCTGGGAACAGCATGTCTGTGAATTGGCAATAGGCCGCACCCGAACAGAGCTGCTCGATCTTGGTGCGATGCTCACGGAGGCAGTCGTTCGCCCAGTTGATCATGTCGTGTATGCTCAGGTTCTCCGTCAGGCGGAGCTGTGAAACTGAGCTTGCTCCAGTAACGTTGCTTCCGTGCCTATATTTTCCTTCCGCTCTCCAGCGTTGGCGGTCCCGTCGCGCGTTTCTACTTTCCGCCGGCTCCTCGAGGCGGGTCTATGTCGTGTGCTAAACTAACGCCCCTCTATCCTGGGAAAATGTGGCTTGAGACACGTGCCACTTCTGGGAAGAACATGGCGTCAGAAATCTAGCTCAATGATGCGCTGTGCCGCCATGATCTTCCCAAGGGCTGCACTTTGCATGTGCCTCGTGCATCGACGCACACTGCGCTACTTTTAAAACATGTAGGGGCTTTATGCTAAACATCTTCGCTCATCCTCCTTCACTGAGTAGGTGGGCTCATAATTTTTTATTCTAATTTGAATCATATGTTCATTTTCTCTAATTAAAAACTTAACCATGAGATTTTCTTTTATTCTCCGGCTTATCGTTAAAATTATCCCATTAAAATATGTCCCCTTGCTGTATTACTGATTTGCACAAACCTCACTATTGTTCTTTTTACGTAATTGTTCTATAAACCTGTTCAAACTAAAATCAAACACCCTGCATATAGACGACACAAAGCAAAAGGAACGCCTTCCAATGGCATGGTAAGAACAAAACGATGTTTGTTTGTTCGTTTGTTTGTTTGTTTGTTTCCTTTTTTTAACCCACACTGGAAGTTCCGCTATTCAGGTGACGGATGCGGGCGAAAGGTTGTAGCTCCCATTTGTTACTTTCCCGAAAGAACCTTTTTTGGGTGAAATGCACATTTACCTAAGTTCGACGTTTATTCCACGAGAGCAAGATGGTAGTTCTTGACAGACAATCAATGGGGCCTACTTCTGATGAGCATGCCTTGAGAACCGCGCGCTCAAATATGAATCTCTCCCCGTATACCATCACGTTTTGTTGTTATCGACGGTTTCAACAAGGAATGACTCAATCCCGGGTCACTGAACAAATGCATTTTCCTTATCATTCTGCATAAATGTGGAACATTTCGTAAAGAAATAGTTTGTTCTTTTTATTACTTTATATACTGATTCCCTAAAAAAAATGGCGCACTTCGGAGAGGACATATTATAATCGTTTACAAGTGGTGAATTCGGCCACTATTTGTTCTTGGAATTGTCGTGTGCGGAGTGCAACTTCGTCTGCTTTTTTGCAGGGGTTGTGGTGACGTCAGAAAGACGGCGAGCTCTGACTGGCTCGCTCCCCGATTTTCTTCGAGCTTGCCTAAAATTTTATTACGATGCTTAGCAAAAGCTAAACAGAGAGCAGAATTGAATGCAAAATATTTAATCTTGAAATATCTTATTGCATATTATACAAAAATGTTCTAAAAGCCGGGATTCAAAATGATAAAGCAAACCACGCCCACTTGACGTAACAATATTAGCAGTTTATTCAAACGTTCTCTCCCCTGCGGGAGACATCATCAGCGCGCGCGTTCAGGGACAGGGCACATCGGTGTGCGTTCAGGGACATATTCGTGTCCCTGAACACGCACTGATGTCTTCCGCCTGGGAGACAGACGTTTGATTGAATTGTTAATATGGTTATGTCAAGTCGGCGTAGTTTGTTTTACATGTTTACACTGTGTAAGTAATGCCAAATTTTCTGCCTAACAACAATATGAAATCCGGCTGTTCCAAATAACGTTTCCGACATCTTATCAACAAGGTCTAACTTATGCCGACGGACATTGCTGATCGTCAGTTTTCTTTAATTTGAGGCGTGATTTGTCATGCCCATACAATTTCTTCACAGAAGCCCTGGCCAACAACGGTAAGGTGTCACATACTCTAGTGAAAAGTTACAAATCCCGTGTTTTTTTTTTGTTTTTTTTTATCTTGATACGTTTTTTTAGTAGTTTAATGCGAACTTATTTTCCAGCCTGGTCAAGTTCAGTGAAAATCCCCCTTACCGCTCATTCACACTGGAAGCGGATCCGCGTTCGCAAAGCGGTTGCGAACGCGGTTGTATAAAGATCCAGTACAATTGCACGCGCACTCGATGACATCAAGTGCGCTTGAAATTGTACTGGATCTTTATACAACCGCGTTCGCAACCGCTTTGCGAACGCGGATCCGCTTCCAGTGTGAATGAGCGGTTACTCTAGCTGGATACGCACATCTAGGGGCGGACGCAGGTATTTCCTTGTATGGGGCGGACGCAGGAGAAGGGGGTGGGGATCAGCGTATCATACATGTTTATCCCCCCCCCCCCCCCCCCCCCGTTTCCCCGCCCTAAAGTTTTCTACATGGAGAATCCAAAAGGGGGGTCACCAGACGACCACTGAGGCAGACTAACTTCCGGCTGTATAGACACACACATAACAATTTGCAATTTTGGGGTCAGGACATCCGGACACCCTCCCCCCGAATCTGCCACTGACTTTGTCCCAATCACGATATCTCTACTCGCCGTTAAAAAAAAAACACCAGTTTTTTTTTTTTTTTTTTTTTGAGAACGGTTGTGCACGAGTGGCATATTCTTCGCACCCTCCTTCAACTATGTGCGACAGGCCTAGCGTAGTTTCACTTTGGCCAGCTCGAACACTCACGGCGACGCCGCGCAGTTGATGAAGCCATGTTGTTCCCGCACACGCAATCCCGTGCACGACCAACACGAAACAGTTACATGCCTCGGTTGATTGGCGGGCGTTTAACTTCGTTGAATGTCACGCGTATGCACGTTTCCACTGGACCGTCAGGTAGAGCGCAACACACCTTTCGCCACAGAGGCCAAATAAAACGAGATGCGGTACTTTTTCTTGCTGGGTATGGTCCAAAACACGCACCGATCTATCTTACATCCAGTTTTCGACATACCTTTTCCGATTTTTCGCCGAGAAAAACATAAAAGACAACGGGAAGTTCCGCCATTCCTTGTTTATGTTTACCATGGAATACAATAATAATAATAATAATAATAATTTAATCGGTTTATAAAAACCCAAATGATAAAGAAAAGGATTTTGCCCATACCATAGAGGCTAAAAGTACCCCCTACTAAGATAAATAAAATAAATAGTAAATCACACTGAAACTGCACACCGGATTAAGGTCCAAATGTCCCCGAATGTCTTATTTTAGGTGGAGGTTTCCACACTTGCAGAATTCCTTTATGTGCTCTTTTTCTTCAAATGGCCCTTGCGTAACTTCGCTTGGGAGGGAGCGTTAGAGCTCGGTGGCTCTAGGGAGGAGCGTACTTCTGTGACGCTTTGTTCGTCCGAGGAGTGGTGTTGTATTCCTAGGAGTGTTGTTTGTTCGTCCGAGGAGTAACGGCCATATCCTACGCCATTACTGGACTATGTGAGGAAGAATCGCTCTGGCGGACTACAGTCCGCCAGAGCGATTCTTTCTCGCATAGTCCAGTAATGGCGTAGGATGGCCATTAAGCAAGCAGGCTATGAGGCGAAGCGAGGCCACCAGTCTAAAGAGAGACACGCGGTTCCACCCACACCTCCGAGAAATTCAGAGGTGTCCATATCTCTGTATCGTGGGAGCTGTAACGGCGACTGGCGGCGCAAGATAGCGTAGTCGGCTCGCCGTCGTACGCTTTCCGAAGAAGCAATCGTAGTGACCTGCCTCGTGCTCCATACAGACGAGAAGTACTCAAGCTGCGGAGGCAGCAGCGCAGTGTACAAACTCCGCAGTGCCTTTGGGCCAGTCCCCCTTGATGCACGTTGCACGAGGCCCAGCGAGCGTCGTTCCCTGGAAAGTACCTCGCTAATGTGATAGGAGAAATTAAGATGCGGATATAGCGTCATCCCAAAAAGCTTCATTCGCTCCGTCCCTTTGAGTGCAGTGCCCCAGAATCTCAAGTCTGGAGGGGGCAGGGGCTGTCGGGTGGTGGTGAGATGACTACCATCACGGAGCACTTTGCAGTGTTGAGGGGTATAGTTCGTTTGTCACAGATCCACTTTTGAACCTTGCAAAGGTCCTCCTTGCTTGTAAGGGCTTATGTTCCTGTTGGGCAGAAGAAGTGTTAGATTGTCGGCGTATAGAAATGGCGTCGAGTTAAGGGAACGAGTCATATCATAAATAAAGGTGGTCGGGCCAAATACGCTGCCTTGGGAGATGCCCGAGATTACCTGTAGGTCTTCGGACTTGGTTCCTTGGAATACAACTCTCTGGATTCTGCCTGCCAAGAAATTTGCGATCCATTTGTGAGTGCTGCCTGCTACGCCAATGTTCAGCAGTTTCCGCAGTAGAAGGCTGCAGTCAAATTTGTCGAATGCCTGTTTTAAATCCAATTGAACCAACTCACATGCTGTGCGGTTGTCCAGAATATTCCGTGTTCGAACCTTTCTTCAACTGTCGCTCACCGGCACCGCTCGTGCCTAGTACAGCTCAAAGTGCCGTGCGCATCAGGTTTTGCACGGCCACCGCCTTCTCGCTCGCAGCGCCCTCTGGACACCAAATCATTTCCCCTTTTTTAAACTGGAACATACTCAGCAAGTAACTTCAAACCATTAACAGCAAGTACTTGTTTGTTTAGAAACGTCTGGCGCTTTTCGTCACTCTTATGTCATTTTCTGAGGCTTGCGCCGACCTCGCATGGTATACCGTCGCTCTCCGTCACTCTCATCTCATCTGCATACATCAGCGTCTCAGCATCTTGAGTTGTACGGCTGCTTCTTGGCCTTGGGACTGTGGATGGTGCAGGCAAGGAGTCCTGTGGAGGGTAGCTGCCACCTGTGTTGTCTTCAAGTGCGCTGTCTGTCGAAGCCGTAGCAGACACCATTGCTGCCTCGTCCGGAACATCCGGAGTCTTGTGAAGGTGCTCAGAGCAACTGGTCCTGATGTCTTCGCCACACCTGACCCGGGGAGACTTGCACCTTGAAAGACACTGGACCTGTCTGGGCAATGACAGTTCCTGGCTGCCACTTACGACCACTTCGAGAGCCTCTGGCATAGACTTGGTCTCATGCAGTGAAAGTCCGCTCTTGGCCTTTGTGTAGAGGGGTTGGCTCGAAGTTGTTTTCCGCAGGTAGTTTGAATTCATGGTCTGAGTAAACCGTTCAGCAAATCCATTTGTAGCAGGATGGTATGGTGCCGACGTGACCTGGGCTATACGATGTTATTTAAAAAGCTCGAAATTCCTCAGGCACGAACTGGGGCTCGTTGTCAAAAACCATGGTTGTGGCAAGCCAAAACGTACAAAGCACTACTCTGGATGATTGCCTTCTACGTCGTGGACTCTAAGATTAACACCTCTGGCCATTTGGAGTGAGCATCCACCAGGACGAGGAACATTTTTCCCATAAAGGGTCCCGCCAGATCCACATGCAGCCTCTCACATGGACATGTCGCCCAGGCACAAGAGTGTAGGGGAGCAGCGGATGGGTTGTTTCGGTGAAGCTGACACACAACACGTCCAAGTTCCCTTTCAATGTCCTTATTAATTGATGTCCACCAAACATAACTCCTGGCCATGTCCTTAGTGTGCACAATTGGTCCCCATGAAGTTCTTCTAAGACCCTTTTCTGCAAAATCTTCGTAATCACCACCCCATAAATCCCACATGAGGCATCCTTCATCTTTGGTGAAGCGAAAGCTCGCTGATGCGTACGTGAAAGGGCACAGACTCTGGATCGATTGCGTTCTGGGCTCCAACCTTGCTTTACTTTTTCCACGACCTGACTTAGGCGAGGGTCTCTGGACGTTGCCCGTGCAATGTCTTTACATTTAAAAGGGACATTATCAAAGTACTCACAGTAGAAGGCGTACGTTTTGTCGACAGCGTCGGTGTTGGGGTCGTCTCTTGCTTTTTGCAGTCTTGATAAGCAATCTGCGTTGGCATTTTCCTTGGAAGACCGGTGGACGACGGTGTAGCGGTGTGCGGCTAGCTGACAACACCATCTCTGAAGCCGCGCTGCTGTCATCGTAGGGATCCATCCCGGTCGTTGGGCCTAGGATTTTCTGTAAGGGAGGGTGGTCAGAGATTAGCGTGGAGTGATAGCCATACAAATAGTAGTGGAATATCCTTATTCCAAATATGATAAGTAGGCCTTCTCTTTCTAACTGAGAATAATTTTTCTCGTGCACAGTCAGGGTCCTGGAAGCAAAAACTAATGGCCGCTCCGTTCCATCTTCAAACACATTGTACAGGACTGCCCCTACTACATACGCCAATGCATCGCATGCAAATATAATGGGTCGACACGGGTCAAAATATGTTAGGACTGGTGCTGGCGTCACAAGCTTATTCAGCGAGTCAAAGGAGTCCTGACAGTCTGTGCTCCATTCCCATGCTGCATTATTCTGCAGTCGGCAATTCAGAGGATACAGGTTAGTTGCCAAGTTCGGTAGAAATTTGCCATAAAAGTTAGCAAGCCCGAGAAATGAACGCAACTCTGCCTTGCTCTTTAGAGTAGGCGGATCTCGAAGTGGAGTTACTTTATCCTCCATGGTTCGTAGACCATACTGACTGATCACATGACCGAGCTATGCAACTTCCGTTTGGAAGAATGTGCACTTTTATTTCGGAAGACGCATTCATTTTTTTTTTTTTTGTAATCGGGTTAAGACCGCTTTTAAGCTTTCAAGATGCTTACCCTTCGTTCTGCCCGTCACCAGGATGTCGTACAGGTAGCAGGTGGTCTGTGGCAACCCTTGGAGTACTTGATCTATGGTTCTTTGAAAGATGGAAGGTGCAGACGCTATGCCAAAGGGAAAACGGTTCACTTGGAACAGCCCCAACTGGGTACGTCCTCTCTAGACCATTACCATTTCTATAGTCAGTGACATGTTTAGAATGCAGGGTGAGGGAAAGGAAGGCTGGGGACTGGAAAGCGGACGCAACGCTGGAGAGAAGGCTCTAGTGTTCTGTCTGCTTCCTTTTCATCCTTCCTTTCCCTCTACCCAACTTTTTAGCCAATCGCTGACTATTAGCCCAGAGAACGAGCACAATCGTCCTATAGCAGTTGCAGAGTAATGATTGGTTGCTTTGTCATTGCTGTGACGTCACGGTGAGGGCAGCAATTGTGTTTCCCTGAGACTGTGTACTTTATGATAGCACGAAACAATATAAAAAGGGTATCAAAAAGACAAAGTAAAAATGACATTCATGGCCAGCATCAGCAAATACTCAACCGTTCTGAAAGGTGACTAGACAAAACTATTCTCGCCGTGACACCACTTTCGAAGGCCACCAGAAGGAGCCACACAAACTTCTCCTCGCTAATAGTGAAGTACCATGTTAGCAATTATACACTGTACCTCAAATGCTGCTTTTCAAACGTAAAGCTGTTAGTATGGGAAGGCTGTGACAGGTCAGCTACACCATGCGGCTCCATGCGGGAGTCGCACCGTGGTGTTGCAGCCAGCGGATGACAAGACTTTGAAATGTCTTACCACAAACTGCCACATTCAAATAATTACAAAGATGGCCAACCAGGAACAGTCTTTCCACTTCTCGTAACAGTCACGCCTCCCAGAGCAGCGAAAGAGCAGAATGGCCGAAGTGTCCACCATCATTTCTAAAACATGTTGGCGCACCGAGAGCACCACATAAAGCATGGGGCCGAGTTGGTGCGGTGCTAACCTTTTTTACACTATACCCGGAGTCAACTTTTTCGCGCCACGTTGTCAAGGCCTGAGTAGCTTCCACTGCGCTCCAGCCCCACACAAAAGACAAGAAAGAGTGCGAAAGGGATTTCCTTTCAGAAAGCAGCGAAGAGGAGGAGGATGCAACACTGGGAAGGTAAATCTTTGGCTTCCCTTTCTCACTTTTTGTACCCCCTTGTCAAGGAGCGCACTGGAAGCTACGCTGGCCTTGACAAAGTAGCACCGAAAAGTTGACGCCGAGTTCACACACTAGCGAAAATTGTAAAAATAGCAGTGATCACCCTTTTCCCGCTACATACAGCCACTCTGAGAGCAAGCAAGCTAGGGCGACCTCAGAAATTGAAGAGTGAACCATGCTCCTCTTGTCAGTTTGCTGCATATCGTACCGTAGCAATTTTGGATTCTCATACACAAGTATAGAAAGGAGATAAAAAGAAAGCGTAAAGAAGCGTCTTCGTGTTGACATGATTGGATTCGAGTTACTTCAGTGGCTCATATATCCCGTGAGAGCACAGATATAGCAATGCAGGGTACTGGTAAATTTTCTAATACCGACGTACCGATCCTTCACTCTGGAGTGAAATTGGATAAACTTTCGATCACAGCCACAGATCTATACAAAAGTGGAGAACTGCATATTGCACCATAGCGTAGCACCGATGTGGCAGTTGAATGAGTGGAATGACCGCTGCAGACATCATGCCTCTTTAGCTGTTGGCCGCTCCATATAACCTACTATTGCAGCAAGTTGTACAAGATAGCAGCCTTATCAGGGCTGCTGTGTTTTGTCTGATATCTGGATCATACATTTTCATCAGTTGCATTCACAAGCATCTGAAACAATGACGATAGAATTACCAGAGTACCGAGGAACACATAGAAACCAATCCAGGAAGTGACTGCGAGAAGCAATCAACTCAAAATGCTCCGCACCCATGCTATTCCTCATCTGTGGTCAATTCAAAGCAATGTGATTGATCAACTTCTCTAGGTAGTTAGCATGTGGCAATCGATACAAGATTGCCCAGTGACTCAGCCATTTCAATTGCAGCAAACCGGGCTAAAGCAAACATTTAAACCAGCTTTCAGGTGAAAGATAAACAAACCGCACACTTCTGACGATTATACCTGTGTCAGCATCCCAGCAGAATTGCAAAGCAGGCAGCCGAGACTCCTGTCAGATCCTTTAGAACTTCATTGTGCTCATTGTGTGATGATATAGGTGGAATTCACTAGACGTCATATTTGAGGTAACTGCTCACAGCACACGCTCGAGAGGAGTTCCCTGTCAGCTCTCGGGCAATCACAAGAGAAGAAGGGAAGGAAAAACTCTCTTTTCAACGGGAATTTCCTTTGTATGTCCCAGGCTTCCCCAGACGTCGCAATTCTCTCTCTAGAAGATTATAGAAGATTAGCTTTCACTCAAAATTTGTACAAAAGCAGCTTTCCCCTCTCTCTCTTCCCCGGTGGTTTGAAAGCAGCAGCGAGCTCAGCTAGGACCGCCAGAAGCTGTTGAATCCTCGGGACTGGAACTGGTCCACATTTACGGTCCCGATACCCTTCTCGGATGCCTCTTTCTGGGGGGCAACAATGTGATCACACTGCACTGAGGCCTCACAGTCATGTGAATAGAGGACACAGCTGAGAATGACACAAGACAAAGGCAGGCTACAGCCACCTGCATCTGTTTGTGTTGCGACCTGAAAGAAACAGCAGGCAGGATGATTTATTCAGTAAGCCAGGCCCGTAGCCCGGGGGGGGGGGGGGGGTCTACAGTTTATCTGGCACCTCCTCTCCTCCCTCCCTCATCCAAACCACTTTGACAAAGGCGCCTCCCCACCCCCCAATTAAAAAAAAAAAAATCCTGGGTACGAGTTTCTAGCAAGCGCTTATTTTATGTCAAACAAGTTTCTCTTACCTCCAGCTTCTCTCTAACATCTGCAGCACCATGAAGTGGCGATGATTCTTCGACCTGAAGGAAACAAGCAGAAATAAACATCCAGATTCATCCATCAAGTGTTTATTTCACGTCAGAGAAGCCTAACTTAAGACACAGGTAGACTATAGCTATGAGGAAACATATTTTCTCTTACCTCCGTGTTCCCCCTCGACATCTGCATCTGAATGGAGTAGTGGCAGTTCTAACTGTGGCAGAGACTCCTCTTCCTCCGCTTCGCACGACAGATCAGTACTGGACGTAGCCTTTTTGTTGAACGCTGCATCATACACTCGTTTTCTCCACCTAAATGATAAAAAAAAAAAGTCGTGACGTCGTAATGAGTCGCAGCGATGGCTACGAGCGCGAGCTCGCTCAATGACCCACCTCGGCTGCACGAACTCTTCGCAACAGGACCAACTGCCAACGCTATAAGCTCGCGATAGCAAGGAATGCTTCCGAAAAGGAACTTCTCGTGGGATCCGTACGCTAAACTGGTCTTCACCGCATCAACATATTGCGGAGCGTGGTTGCCATTTGTCTCCATCTAAATCCAGCCTTCTCCCGCTGTCGGGTGGCACACAGAGTTTTCGTAAGGCCTGTTGAGGCATAAATATGAGACTTACCCTTCGTAGCAAAACTTCTTGTCGCTCAGCTACCGCAAGCGACCAGCGGTAGGGCGGTGGGAAAATTGTCGGCGCATATTGTCACGGGTGGTGACCAATAAACAAGAAATAAACAGGAATAAATAAACGTTTAATGTGGCGAACTTGTGCCAAAAAATAAAAGGGTACAAAAGATAAGAGCGTCGCGGGCGTCGAAGTCGGCGTAACAGCAGAGTCGAACGCTGGGGCGAAACTGACTGTGGCTCGCCACGCGGAGCCCCTTATGTACACGAGTGGTCTTCTGGAATAATCGGCGTGGAAACTTCGACGCGTAGAACATTCGGGCCTGGAACAAGCAACATGATTCTCGAATTCTCCAGAACACTAAATTGCAGGAATAAACAAATTACACGTCACTCCCAGGATTCGAACCCTAGCTTTTCGCGTGGGAGGCAAGCGCGATAATCGTTAGGCCACGCGCGCGCTGCCTACTTGGCCAGCTGCGCGCGCGGCAATATGATGGGGACGCGGTGTCCCTCGATGGTTTACCGCCGACAGAGTGTGCACGGCAAACTTTTGACCATTTCGTAGGCTTACATTCAGTTACGTCGGCACTGAAGGAAACCAAAAGCCCGGCAAATTACACTCACCTCACACCCACAGGCATGGAAGCGCCAAACATGCCAGCGAACACCTACTTCACACGACGTACTAAGAGAATCCAACACTCTCGCTGGTCTCGGAGGCATGGTGCAGCGAAACAGAAAAACGTCGTCCCTGGAGGACAATTCTTGTAACTATTGGCGCAGTTAACGACGCAACAAATCTTGTCCAATTTTTTTTTTTTTTTTTTTTTTTTTTTTTTTTTTTTTTGATGCGTTGAATAGGTATTCTTTGCCTAGCCTGGCCTTGCTGCGTGCAGACGACGTCTTCCTAGTCCCGCCAAATGATTCATCAAGGGCGCCAACATCTAGTCTCACGCTTCCCACAACACGTGCGCACATTTAGCATTTGAGATGCTGATGCCGGCTCTGCATTAGCACCGTCTGGGCAAACGAGCATTTGGAAGGGCTGGAGGAGAGCTTTGCACGCCAAGAATCTCAAAGTTATGGTTCGACCTAGCAACTTTCGGCAACATCCACTAGGTGCAATCTGATAATTGGTTTATTCGCTTTAAGTAATGTTCTGTAGTCGTATCGAACAAAAAACTGACCTTTCTCTGTGGTGTGGCCAGAACACGGTTGTCAGTTTTGCTGAACGATCGTACGCCGATACGAAGCTCTTCCAGATCGGAAAGGGCAAGCGAGGAGATTGACCCAAGGATCCCTGAGTTCCGTAGCTTGAGCTTTGACTCTACAAGCGCCAAAGCACATACAAAAAGATAAAATTATATTTAACGTAATTTTAACCAGATCCAAATCCCCCGCGCAAAATAAATTTGCTCAGCTATCATCAGCATCATAATAAACCTAGCCCAACCTTCTCGATTTCGTTACATGGATGCATTTTTTATTTTGTACAATGTCAAATGAGATGCTTATTGAAATTAAATTTGTTATTAAAAGGTAACACTTCGTTGATTTATTACCTTTTAATTTTTATAGCACGTGACAGGATAGGGTTAAACTAAGTCGACCTGAGTTACTCCTGTGACGTCATTGCGATTACAACGCAGCACACGCATCTTCCCGGAGCATACCCCGATATCCCACTCAAGCGGTCTGCTACAGTTTTACCGCCAGTACCGCTACTTCCGTTGGTCAGATACTGGTAAAACCCACAGAAAGCCTTGCGGATAATCACAGCACCATGTTCGGCACTATCCGATGCCTCTCGACATCCCGCCGATTCCTCAGCGTGAGCAAGAGTTTCCACAGAACTTTCGTCACGCTGCGGTCATGGCAGACGACCTCCCCGCAACCGACTTTCGCAGCAGCCTCGAGCGTGCTACATCAGCAGCATCAACCAAGAAGACGAAGTCACAAGACGGGCCTCACCTCACCCGTGCTTCCATTGAACAAGGCGGGGGATCAAAAATGGACGACCATCTTCCATTACCCGTACATCAAGTCGATACGGATGCTGATCCGCGTGAAGGTCTACCAGACCGTAGGTACCTTGGTGGTCAGCCCTGCTTTGGTGGCCGCTGAATACATGAACTGGCTAAACACCGATTTCTCGCGGGCCGCCATAGTCCTGTCGTTCACCGCGTCCTTCGTGCTCGTAGCCATGGGATACCTCGCGGAGCGCGTCGTGGGTGTCATGTACGTGAACGAGGACCGTAGCTTGCTGCGGGTCGGCCACATGGACTTCTGGGGCAACCGTCATGACCACGTGTTCAGGACGAAAGACGTGGCGGAGTTCGCGGACAGTGGGCAACACTGGAGCGCGCTGTACATTACGCTGCGCAGATACAGCGCGCCAAACGATCCCCTCTACTTGTCACTCAAACACGGCGGCATCGTAGAGGACAAGCTGTTCAGGGAGGTCTTCGGCAATGAGGTCTAAGTGCCACGATTTCAGACCGTCTCACTAAGGCTCCTTGTCCATGTGAGCGCTATGCAGCGTACCTAAAGACCACAGCATTGATCGGAAAGTGTCCTACGACCAGTTTCGCCACGTTCGTAGACTTTGTTGTGTACCCTTGTCGAGGTGAAACTGGTTGTATGATGACCTTACTTCTTGTCAGATTATGTTGTCGAAGGCAGACTGAAAATTATTTTGTCGGGCATGTCGCAGGCCTTCACGGTATGGTGCCGCAGTCTCCTGAACCAAAATAAATGTTATTATAGAAAAATAGATAAGAACTTTCAGCCTTGTCACTCTGGTGAAGAAGTGGGCTAGTGCACACCAGCTCTGAGCACGTGGAGTGGAAGATCGCGCTGCAGAACCCAGAGATCCTGGGTTCAATCCCCTCCCCTGCCCGTTTCAATCTGGATGAGCATCGTAACGGCATGCGGTCGTGTATCACTACTGCGTGGAGCACATTAAAGACCCCAGGCTAGCGGTTGTACTGCACTGGCTAAATTGCTCATATACAGCGAGTGTCTCGTTGCAACTTTGAAATGGCTGACCAACTACACGCTGTATAAATATCCACACAACCCCAATTATTATTATTGGTGAAGAACGAAGACCAGCAAAGCTGTACTATGGTAGGACGACGTCTTGAACAACCTCAAGGACGACGCCTAGGACAACGTCTAGGACGACCTTGGGGATGACGCCTAGGACAACCTCAAGCATGACATCAAGGACAACGTCTAGGACAACCTCAAGGACAACGCCTAGAGAAATTCAGCCTTTCCGCTCTGGTGAAAACCAGAGTGGAAAGGTTGCCACCACCTATGAGCGATGGCGGCAACCAGACAACCGGTTGTCTGGTTGTCGCCGTCGCTTACAGATGGCGGTATCTGTCCAGAGTTTTGTGTAGAGATTTATTGGTCCATGGACACAAAACTGGGGAAACTAGCCCTTAACAGCTCCGCTGTAAAAAAAAAGAGCTTGGAGTTTTATTATTTTCTGCCAGTGGCGAGACCGTTTAGAGCAATGACCACCAAGTGAGCTACGCTTCAGAACCATGGAGGGAGGAAGAAGAGAAGGTGACATACCAGCTCAAGCCAGCAAAACGAGCAAATCTCAAGCCAGAAGTAGAGGTCGTGGTCGGTGGGAACGCCCCGAAGGGTGACCAAACCAGCTGTTGGCGCCAGATCAGTTTTCCCTTTCGTCCAATAGAGTCTTGGTTTTGCTCATCGTTGGGGGTGTGTCCCTGCAAACCGGAGACCTCTGGTGGCATCATGTCACCTGCAGAATCTTCCTACTTCCATTACAATAACAGCATTCAGCCTTGGATGGATGGATGCTAATGGCTGAACCCTTTATAATGGGCGGTAGCTTGCGCCACTTAGCCTAGACATCTTGGTGCTTAAAATCATTGTTGCCGGTTATTTGGAGCTTTGTCTGAAATTGCAAGAAACACCTTGCCATCCCTCTGATATGTTAAAGGGGTCATGAAACGCTTTTCCAACTTTTTCCTGTTTAGCTTTCCTCCTCAACTCATAAATCGCGCATTCCACCAAACAGTAAAAGAAGACGAAAAGGGGGAGTCCCCTCTTGCTCGCACTCTCGTTTGTGTAATCCCGGACACATCCATTCTCCCCCTAGAAGATTAGCCCGTCGCTCAAAATTCAGACAAAAGTTGCTTTCCCCACCCCGTTCATTCCGAAGCTGACAGTGCTGTTGAAGCTACGTGCTCATTGGGCCAGCCACACTTGCGACGTGAGCGTGGCAAATGTGGCTGCAGAGAATGAAGTCAGGTGATGAAAGGGAGGCGGCTGATTGGTCCGGCAAGCGCGTAGCTTCCACCACAACATCAGCTTAGGGGTGAAGGGAATAAGTGAGGTCCGGTTGCGTGTGACGTCAGTTTGGACCCGTTGACGCGCTTTTGGGACCGCGGATGTATCACAGTGAAAAGGCAGAGAGGTTGTGAAGGGGAGGAGGTATGAAATAGTCCGCTCTGTTTTCAAATTTTCGCACTGAAAGTCAGGCTTTTGACTTTCTACCTTTTTTGTTTTGGTCCACTGAACGATGTGCTATTAGTAAAATCTCAATCTAAAATGATTTATCCCAACCCAAAAATCGTTTCATGGGCCCTTTAAGGCAATCTGCGACAGAGGAAAACAGTATCGCCCGAGCTTTTTGACCCTATGTAAAATTCAGGAAGTTGCATTCTTGAAATGTAACCATCATCAAATGTCCCCTCTCTGCACCAAAATGGCGGTACCCGCAAGATAACCGGGAAACGAAGTGCTGTTGCTCCAAGCATAGCATATTCAAGGGCTCTATTCAGAGCTAGATGAAATGCATTTGCACTGATGTCTCATATCAGTAGTCATTCTGGTGGCCTTAATGCTGGGTGCATACCTTCTGCATCTTACCTTTTACCCTACGAAAAAAAAATGTTTTCCTGCAATGGATGGTAAAGATGCAAGTCTCGATTGCGCAGTTGAAGCTGACTCGAGGTTTCCACATTAAAGTTCAGCGACAAAGGCATGTTATACTATTTCCGACACGTTGGTCTGGACAAGTTGGAGAAATAAACAGTTGGACAATGTCGTCCACACAGAATCTACCTTTTTCCAAATAGGCGCTACCACCTGGACGCACTGGATTCAAGGTCGAACAGGTAGAAACAACGCACTTTCAAATCCTCTGCCACCCATTCTGTAGCACCCAGAACATCATCTGCACCCTGTTGGCCCTTCGAGACGCTGTAACCTAGATACGGCTCCCCCAAACTTCTCTTTTGTCTTCATCGTGGACTATCTTCGGCCTCGGTACTGATACAAGAAGGTTATCTTCCCTCCCTGCTCTGCCGGAAGGAAGAGAAAAAGGCTACCAAATTTATTGACTCTTCAACCGATACTTCTAGAAAGGGTGGATTGAAGAAATGTTTAGGGTCATGGTTGCACAGGATATTCTTCGTCCATGCAGTGCAACTAGGGATGCCACGAACTTTTTTCGAATCGAAGTTTCGATGATCGAATCAAGCGGTTCGAAAGGTTCGAAAGATTTCGATTTTTCGAATTTTCTACATCGTAAAATTCGACGGAAGTCGAATTTTCGAACTTGTTGAGCTAAGAAGTTAGACGCTTTTCGAACCGTCGAACTTATTACGCTAAGAAATTTTATCTTTTTCGAACTTTCGAACTTATTGCGCTGCAAAGTTCGATGCTTGTCGAACTTCCGGACTTCACTGACCAAAAAATTCGATGAATTTCGAACTTATTTATCAAGAAAATTCGAAAATTTTCGAACTTTAGGTTCCTGAAAAGTAAGAATTTCGACGAACTCCGAACTTTTAGGGTAAAAGTTAGACGCTCGTCGAACTTCGAAAGACCAGCGGACGGTTTCATTTGAATTCAAGTAGCGAGGTACATTCATAGTTTTTTTTCTCGAACTTTTACACGCGGTGCTGCGTTCCTTACGAAAGACAATGGCGTTTGTTTCAATGTTCTGGCATGCTTAGTTTTAAAGAAATAAATTTCTGAAGGGGCGAAGAAGTACGACGGGTTTTTGATGATTATCGTTTGTGCCAGATTTGAAGTGCACTGTAGCCGAAGCTATTTGTGGTAGAGATGTTATACTTTTTTAAGGATGATCTATGTATAGCTTAGGTAAGTGCCGTCTTAAGATGTGATTATTGCTATTCAACGTGAGTTTCGAAGAAATGTCCAAACATTTATCTATATGCAATTATGCCCTAAACTTGATATTTATTTTCATCTAAGTTGTTTGAGGTATCGCATTTAAATTAACACCACAGACAGTACATATCATACCCATCTGCAGAATACAAAATAATGTATTTATTGTTTTTTCACGTTAAGGATTAAATTAACTCATGGGAGAAGATTTCTAATAGTGTTCAAGTTCAGCACGTCATTAAAAGAAAACTTTTTTTTTTTTTCGCTTCACGATCCTGGGACGTGTTTCTTTTAGCCTGTACACATTTTGGTAAAAGAAACTTGTTTCGAAGTTCTGAACCTCTGAATACGCAAGAATACAACACTTCCGGCGAATTCTTGATAGTTTTTTTTTTCTCCAGCTTTTTATCCCCGCATTTATTCTTTCTTTACTATTGGCACAGGTATTTAGGTCGAAAAGATATAGCTTTGAACTTCCGAACCACTAAGCATGTGACGAGTAGTGCCTTCTGACAATGAGTTTCTAACAATGACCATATTCGCAATCTTTTATGCAGTGAAGAGCGACAGTAGCTATACATATGCATAAATAATTTCAGATTAAAATAAGCTCGACCACGCTCTCTTTCCCCGTATTGTTTTCTTTAACAGTCCGAAATATCTGGAAGGAAAGAAGTGAACTGAAGCCCCTCCCCCCCCCCCCGCCACCCTCTTACCCCCCGTTTTTCTTCTTCCGACGCCACTTGTATCGTAGAACGCTCCTCGACCTCGAGTTGTGTCGGCTTTTTGCGAGGCGATTCCTCCGTCCCAGAAAATAAACCTCCAGGACAATTACAAACTTAACTTACTATATGCCAGCATCACTCGGGCAGCGTTCGATCGGATTACTATCAGTGTGCAAGGGGTGGTGAGGTAGTTCGCCAGGTCGCTTCAAAGTTCTTCTGAGCCTCAACCTCCTGCTCGTCCCTGGCCGTTTCGAACTGGATGAGTCTCGTAAAACAGTGTGTTCGTGTGATCACTACTGCGTGATGCAGGTTAAAGACCCCCCCCCCCCCCCCCCCCCGCCCCGCACCCCCCCCACCCCGGGCTGGCGGTCACAATTACTGATCCATGGTCACACGTCACTCTGCACTGGCAAATATTCCAGTACATCCGGGACCCTCTTCGTCTCATTTAATTGCCTGACCAACTTCGCAGAATCTAGATATCACACCCCAACTTTTCTAAACTTGATTTTGTGAAAACCAGTGAGTCGTGAAAACGTTATTTGAAACAAACTGTGGAGGAACTTGAAAACCGGACTCCGAACTTTGAAAACTTGGACTAAAAAAATTCAAAATCTTCGAAGTTTTTTTTTTTTTTTTTTTTTAGACTTTAGCGTTAAAAGAGAATCGAAACCTTCAAACTTTTCGAACTTCATGCAGATAGAAATTCGAAATCTTCGAATTGTTCGAACTTCATGTCTATAAAAATTCGAAGCGTTCGAAGTTGTCGAATTTTGTTTCCAAAGAATTTCGAAATCTTCGAATTTATTGAACCTGAAGTAAAAAAATATTCGAAATATTCGAATCCGAAATTTTAGAAACCGTGAGAGCTTCGAACTTTTCGAATTCGAAACTGCACTGTGATCGAAAGTTGCGAATTTTTCGAATTCGAACCTCGGTCGGTACGAAAATATCGAAATTTTTCAAAATCGAACCTCAGTTCGCTTCGCAAATATTGAAACCTTTCGAAATCGAACTTGGGGTGGTTCGCGACATCCCTAAGTGCAACGCGGGGGATGTCGCGTTGCACTTAGGGCGGGGGGGGTGCATTTTCATGTTTTCTTTCAATTAGTAGTTCAATGGAAAGGACTTGGAAATAATAGCATTACTTCCAAAGGTAAAAAACAAATTACTCATTGATGCAGTAACTGTAACGGTAACTTGGCTACATCTATCTGAAAGGAACTACCAAATAATTTTTTGACAGTAACTTAACCAAGACCGGACACATGGGGAAGGGATTGTGAATGTACGGAGAATTACTTCACCCAGGTCCGTCCGTCCCCCCCCCCCTCCCCCCCAACGTGGCCACGTGGAGAGTTTCAGCAATAGGGGTGTGGTCAGTTGCCGGCATTCTGCGTTTGCCTCGCTTGCTGGAGCACAGCCAACGCCAAGTACAAAGGGTCCATAAAGGGTTCTCGTACGAAGCAGTCTCTTTAAAACGGCAATGCTTGAAATTGACACCAGAAAACTTGCAAAGCAGGAAGGAGAGGCCACACTATCACGAGAACATTGCGCAAAGTCAAGCGTAAATCTGGCGATGCCTGACGTCAAGTATCTCCGCCATAGACGAGAAATTTTGCCACTGCAGTACCAGCCCGAGGTCCTTAACGTGCCTCGAGCAGCAACGACACAGAAATGCACGGCAGCATGATGCTCACCCAGATCGAACCCAGGACCCCTGTGTGTGGCACGAACGCTGCAAAAGAATCCAGACAAAACCAGCGACGCACGAGTCTGAGACTACAGAAGCTTGCACAGCAGAACCAATGTGTAGGTTTTTCTTTTTTTTTTTATTGCTCAGGTGGTCAGGTTTGAAAAAATGTGCAGATCAGCAAAAACAAAACTTCCGGATGAAAAGAAAAAATAGTGAATACGACTCTCGGCATGTTTTCAGGACTCCAAGCCCAAATGACAAAATTTTCGTTTTCTTCATCCGTCCCTCGCGAGACGCAGACGGCACTCTTCGAAAGGTAACTGGCTGTTTCGACAAAAGTGTCGGCCTCTTTTTTCTTATATTTTTCAATTTCCATTTTTGCCTTTCTGGTAGGCTGGAGAAAACGACGACGTAACAAAAATAAAGCGTTGAATCTGCGTGTCGACGAGTCGCCCCGGTGCCAAACGTCCAGTCTGTCCTCAGTCTTTCGGGAGATCGTAGCTGCGGATTTTTCCGGTAGCGTTTCCCCTTCGTCGTCTCTTTGTGGGTTCGGTCTTGCGGGGGAGCGTTGGATGCCAGATCGAGACGTGTCGGACTAGTCCAGCTCCTCCGGCTGAACCTGGGCCACCGGCGATGTCCCGGCCGCTCCATGAGACGTCCCCGGATCGTCGTCCTCCAGACCTCCCAGCAACGTCTGTATTAGGTTTCCTGCAGAACCGAGAAGGTTGATTAGGGGGGGGAGTTATCGAACCTTTCAAGTGCCTTAAACAAAACCGTCAATCCTGAAACTCTGTCCGTTCGTCCGTGCATCTCCCGGTAGATTTAGCGACAAAATTAACATCACACGATCTAAACACCAATTCAGTTTCCCTGCTAAATTTTGTGGGAAAATTGACGTAACCTTACCAGTGGCACGAGGGGCGGTGGGCCGCGGCGATGCCCCCTCCCCCTTCCCTGTCTCGTGGACCTCCGCGACACTACCCCCCCCCCCCCCCACCCCCTCCGCCTGTTGCCCGCCGCAATACCACCCGGAGCGTTGAACCCAAAGCAGTTCGCCCCCCCCCTCCCCCCCCTCCCCAACCCCAGGTGACGCCGCTGCACCTAACCTTACGTCACGCGACCTATAGAACAATTTAATTTCCCCGCCGAATTTGGCAGAGAAAATGATGCTGTGCGACTTATAGGCCAATTTAATTTCCCCGCTTAATTTGGAGGAGAAATTGTCGTCACGTGACCTAAAGACCAGCTTAATTTCTTTGCCATATTTCACAGCAAAAGTCACGTCACGTGACCTATACGGCGATAAATTGACGACCCATGGCCCGTGCATCGACTCAGTTTCCATGCTAAAGTTAGTGGGAAAATGAATGAAAAGGTGGGTTCTCCTTCAGTCCCCGAAACGCCCCTTTAATGTCTTCTAAACAAATTTAAACTATTAAATACCGCTTGGAGTGCATTATGGGACTTTGGAGACAAAGGTCGCCATAAACTTTTCCACCTCGAGGGGTGTCTTTTTATTTTTTTTTATTTCAGGCTTTAGATTTTTCAGACAAACTGCCAAAGCTTGACTAATGTCTGTGAAGACGAGTTATGTGGCTAAGGAGACATAATATAGAAGGATAATTGATGTGATAACAAAAGAAATTAACTGAAGTTTCGTTCATTAACTTTTTCATTGGTGAAAATGCATGCATGTTTCCAATTAAAAACTTGCTCGGTGTCATTGGAAATGACTAAATTGGTCAGGTTACGAAGGATTTGGAGAGCTTGGGAAGCATGGTCGTACGCTAAAGTTACCCCTTGTGCAGCAGACGAAATGCTGGCGAATGCCACAGACTGCACTCGCGTAGCTTTGAAGGCACTTTTAGAGAAAGTCCGTAAAGACTAAGAAGAACACCCTGTGCAGTTGCCGACCTGTTTTACGGACGCCGAAATTCTGTACATGGCAAATTATTCCGACAATTTTCCGGAGCCGTCAAAAAAGAGACTAAAAACCCGGACAACATACGCCTTGTTGCTAGATTTTTCGGACATTTTAGTGGCCACCGTATTGACACCACAAACCGAACAGCCACAACTTTTTTTTTTTTTCCAGTTTGACAAGTACCGTTGACACCATGTTCTACGCACGACCTATGCCAGGATGTGCTGTCCACGCGATACAGAAGCTGGATTGAGGCCATAATCCCAATCATCACCTCTTTTTCTCAAAACCGCCGTAGATTTGATACTTTTGTTTTGTGTTGTTCACGTAAGAATCGTGGTCGTCTAAATGTCCGGGCAGTATCTGCTGTCGTCCTACACACCACCTTCTGCCGTGGTCTCCAAATAGTGTCAAATGGTGCCGACTGCATCTTTAACTTGATTGCCGGCATCAACGCCTAGGTTCGACTCGGATTTTTGTTTTTTGCTGTGCCTCTGGGAAGCCCATCAAATAAAGGGAGAGACTGTGGTCGTATAAACGTCCGGGAACTGTTTCAATGTCCGCACTCTTTTTTGTTCATAGTTTTGTTCATGGACAACTTGACGGACCGTGACATCCAACGTGGACCACCGAAACATAAAAAATGATTGGACCCTGAAAAGGCTAAGCACCGTCTAGCAAACTACCGACCTGTTTCTCCAGCCATTTGGTATATAAAGTGCCAACAAAAAGATTTTTTTTAGCTATATTCACTTTTTCGGACTGCTCGATTGTTCGACTTGTTTGCGATCCCGATTAGATCCGAACAATCAATGGGCAACTGCATACATGAAAATGTGTGAATCCAATTGACTCAGCAACACCAAGATAGAACTCAGTCTTACCAAACACCCCCTGTGGCTTAGGGGGTGGCGGCAGGCCGAAGAACAGCTGCCCAATCTTGTCCAGGTACTGGGGATAGCTGGGGTCTCGGCTGATGGTGGGCTGGTACTCCTCGCACAACACCGTGAACACCGCCAGCTTGCGGCTGCGTACGAATACCATTTGCTACAATGAATCAGATCGCCAGGGAACACAAATTGCTTCAGAGGCTGGCGAGAAACTGGAGACCAAACACCCTTTCACCCGATGACAGATCGCAGTGGAGGCTACGAGCCATTTCGACCATTCCAGCGCTCTGAATGTATCGCGTAATTACACGTTTAGTGCGTCCTTGCCCCTCACCCAAGTCACCCAACACTCAGACGACAATAGATTGGCTCCTATGGCTCATAGCGTCGTCTGCGGTCTACCGTAAGGCGAAACAAAGTATAGACAGTGTTCGTTCACAGAAAGACGCCCCAAACGAGCGTACCCAGAAGATCGTTTCTCAAGGTTTTAGTTTTGTTTGGAGGTCAGGGTGGTTTGCTACGGGAAAGATGTTACTTGCTGTGAAGATCCTTGGCAATCCGAACAGTCATCCCGAGTTTCTCCATCGAGCAAAGGACATCTCACTGATATCTTGAAACAGCTACAGTGAGCTATAGATGCCGTGCACAGTGCAACATGTCTACAGAACACCTTCTCTAAACGTCTAAAACACGTCTTCTTTAGATGTCTTGAAGTCATAATCTCCAGAGATCTACAAGACACGTCTGAAAGATATTTTCTCTAGATGTCTACGAGATCTGTCTAGAACACGTTTTCTCTAGACATCTAGCATATAAACATCCAGACGGCTACGAGACGTCTCCCAACGTCTCGTAGCCGTCGGCTCGAGCTCAGCTAATGCGCCGTCATAATTGGGCTACGAGAAATCTTAAGAGGTATCTCGCGGACGGCTATTCACCTCGACATTGAACCGTGTCACCACCGTGCGGCCGAAATTTTAAACATGCGAAAGCGGGGATACCGCCGTGCGCCGTCTGCTAGGGGCAGGCGTTTAGAAGCATGGATATCAACGACGCAAGCCCATTTCCGGCTGAGCTGGGCCTTCCTCCCCTCCCCTCCCTTCCCTCTCTCCTCCTCCTCCTCCTCCTACTTTCTACAACACAAGATTCTGATTAAACGGGAAAAAAATTGTCGCAATTAAAGCATCTCTCGAATAATCTGAAAGTTAATCGAAGAACTGCCCAGTCCAGATATGCATTAGGTTAGGGCAGATGGTCATCGGAAAGTCTCGTAAGAGCCGCTATTCCTCGTGAGTAAAAGAGTGTCGCTGCGACCGATGCTGTCTGTGTCGGAGTGCGGGGCGTTCCTTGAATTTGCGGTGTCTATGACATTTCAATAGAAGATTATTTAGCCAGAAAGTTATAATACTGGCCTCCGCGGCCCTCCCCGAGAAAATTGAAGCGGGTGAACCCACTCTACCAAGGAGAGCATCTATGAACACACACACTGCTGTGCTGCTCAATTACAACAATTTATTCCACTTGTTTCAGGTATCCCGCCAACAAACAGTTTGCGGATTGTAACTAGAAGAAGCATGTCTCCTCATCACAACATAGTACAACTGTTCCGACTCTGAAAGACTTACCCACACCATGGCACAGTAAAGAGAAACATTGGCTGCAGTGGAACTCAATAGCATGGTATTTACCAATACAGCACAAACTTCTCTCAATGCAAAATATTTATTTTACAGCAAAAGCTAAAAGTTACAAAAAAGAAAAAAATGCATAGAACCTACGATTCCACAACTCACAGTATCAGTGTTATATGTGAACATCTGGGTTGGAATTCCTCGTCTTGTTGAATTCCCTCGCTGGTGAACCGACATATCTTTTAAAAGGAACAAATTTTTAGCATAAATAGTGCAGTTCACCCAGAAACAGGCACCCGTCGTGGTGACCCACCATGCTTCCCAACGTCTGCCTAGAGCAGACGACGCATCCACATGATCGATTACTTAAATTTAGGCCCTACACTGATAACACAATACAACCTTCGCTGAAACCCCGAATGGTACCGCAGTATTGTTTGCTAAAATTATTTTTACATTGGTACTATGCAACAAAATAAATGCAAGAATCTACACCGTCTCCCGCCCAAACGCACAGAGCTTATGAGGTGGCCATGCTTATATCCCCACTTTGATGATGATGATAGCGCGACGTCAGTGCCACCTTTCATTATATCTCGAGGCCAATAAGACGTCTCTCAAATATCTCCTAGCCCAAAAACATTGGTGCACTGGCGAGGTAGAAACCAGCTGCCAGACGTTTCCAGATATCTACCCTCGCAGCACACGTGGTTTCTGCAACTTCCTCCGGATGTCCCGACATAATGCGGACGTCCAGTAGATGTTCAGAGGACGGTGCTACCTGAGTAGCGACATCTAATGTCTCGTCCAATGTCTAGAGGACATTTCACGCTATCACAGACAATTTGAGCTGAAGTAGTCCTTCGTGCCTCTTTGGCATGCCTGCCAATTTTTTAGAGAGCTGTGATCAGAACTAGGAATGGAACACGAAGTTGAGGTCGTAAATTGGGACTGTCAGACTAATTGAGAGATAGTAGAGGCCGCAGACGCAGGAAGAGGCTGGATTGGGTGTTTCGACTCACAATGTCTAAGGGGGTACGTCTTGCTAAGAGGTAAAGAGGTCCTTGTGTTTGATGGGACCGCTCGTCTGCAACCATTTTCTTCTGCCACCGGTTGGCGACGCTTGAACATAACAAAGGGCGGTAACTCAAACATTAGTTAATTAACTCGAATGCTCGAACGTAACAAAGAGCGGTGTACTTGACAGGTGTGCAAACGGTGCTCGTTCATAGGGTAGAGCTACAGAGCGTTTCTGAACATTATTTTGGCAAAAATAATTTGTAGAAATAAACCAATGAACGGAGTGGATTCAAGCTTTTCACAAATGTGTCTGTCATGAGCGTGGGTTTTGGGGGAAAAAAAATTTGAGCCTCAAAAACCCTTTTTCTTCCAACGCACAGAGGGGAAAAAAGTACGAACCTCCTGGTCACGGCGTAAGATGGCTCAATCGGGGCAATGCCATCTCTGGAAGCGTCCCACTTTCGTCCCTATATCTGATGTGTTTCACCGGACGGCGCCATGCTTGCTGAGGCCCACGAAGGGCGTCTGCTACGCGGAGAGCGAACCGTTTGGGGACTGCAGCAAAGCTTTGCATGCGCTAAACTGAATGTGACAGTTAAATGTGCCACTCTGAAGCGGCGGTGGATATTCCTGATATTGTGTGAGGCTATTAACCGTCAAAAAAGAGGGCTACTGGCCGGTGTCATTTTCGGCAATTCTGGATGTGGCACATGCCTTCTTTCTTTGTCATGCAAGATACTTTTATGTGCTGGGCTGGAGACCGCCCACTGGGCTGTGGAATGGTAATCGTCGGAGTGTGTACAGTGCAGGCCCTCGGATTCAAGCGCACTATCGGTGTGCGAAGTGCTCAAAGTCGACTGCGAGGAACAGCGTGCTGAACTTTGGTTGTGGCAACGGTACACTATTTGCTAATTAGGTACACCTCGGCTCCACAGCAGGCAAAATGCCTCCCTCGCTTGCATAAATGAGTCTACTTTATGATAAAGAAAAATATAATCGACATGTTATTGGCATGCTTTTCACGATATAGTAGTATACGTTCGTGGACCACGCTGACAAACTAATGCAGGAAAAATGCTTTTGGTTGGTGTGCCGCTTTCTCTTTCATTGTATCATTAGTCCCAACTGTCCACTAAATCTCTCTAATGAAGTTGACCCGCTGACAGGACTCCTTGAGCGAGGCACAGGCACGGCAGAAATATGCTTCCATTCATGGATTTTTTTTTTATTGGCCAGAGAACTAATTCGTAAATAACAATGTTCAGAAAGTAAGCCCCCTTTACTTTAGGGACAAACAACATTGAAAAGTAATTGTTTTGTGTGTACGTTTATACAGTTAGAAGTTAGTCGGCCCCAATGGGCATCTCGGCCGTAGCTGAGAAACTGAGTACATCCGCCAGCCTGGGGTTTTCAACATGTGCCACACGGCTGCGATACAGGACCGCAAGCCGCTACGACGCTTGTCCAGATTGAAACGGGCAAGGGTGGGGACTGAACCCAGAGTCCTTGGGTTCTGCGGCGTGAGCTTTTGCTCCACGCACTCCAAGCTGCGGTGCACTAACCTGCACGGTCACCGATCCCTCCGCAACATTTGACGAACAAAAGGTTGCGGTGCACTACACTCGCACTTCCAGGCGAAGTAAAACTGAAGGTGTTAAAAACAGTGCCGTTTGTTGGAAGGAGGGCACTGACGGTCCTTTTTTTTCTGGTTTTTCGTCAGGTGGCGGGGACAGCGCGGAAATGTGGTTGGCACTGCCCTTTTTGCCGGAGCAGCTTTCCGTGGGGCGCCTACGAGGACGTGGCCCCTGTAGACGGCCTTCTGCGACCTTCTCACAAACCTCGACTCGAAGTGTCTCTCGCGGACAAAGTCTGTCGGCTGCGGCGGGCAATCTTTGCGCGGGATCGTGCCGCGCTACGCCTTTGGGTGGTCCTCTTCTTTGGGGAGTAGCAAAAACAGACGGCTTCTCCATTCAGGTTTTTGTATCCCGCGTTGCACCGCAGCACGAAGCACTTCTTGCACGTTGCCGGCAGCCTCCAGAAACCGGAACCGGCCAGGAACGAAACGATAATCGCAAATAACCGGGCAGCGTTACAGCTTGGCGCATGTTACCGCCCGCTACCACTCTTGAAAGGATGGCCTCCGAGTGAGTGGCGTGCCCCAGCAGCGGGAGAGAGAATCACATGCCGACGTTCGCCACGACGGATCTTCGGCGAAGGTGCGGCGTCGTGCCACCCGAAGTATTTCTATCGCCTCACTTCTCGTTGCTTATAGATAGTACCACACACACGCTCAAATCTACCGGATCTACCGTAGAATACTGCACATCTACCCATTCCACATTAAGCACCCATTCCCAAATTTGTAAGATCTGAGAAACTATGCACAGTACATTTATATGTAAAATGATGACCGGAAAAGCGCCCATCCAACATTTTTTTGCGATTATCTCCAAAGTTTGAGTGGGCGCTTGCCCGGTATTTTACGGTACTTGCGAGTGTTCATCTCTAATTAGTTTTCACAATTTTGCTTTACAATATACCATTTGTGAGTGGCAGCGTCAACCAGACGGTTTTTACTGCTTTCCTCCCCGAGCATAAAAATAAAGCACGATGTTTTAGGCTCAACTTTTTTTCCCCAAAACCTACGCTCAAGAAATTTTTAGCTAGATGAATGCACCACCCAAGACACGTTTGATAAGTTTAAATGCATTCAATTCATTAATTCATTTATATATAAAAAAAAAATTACGCTGGAATAGCGAAGGATTGGTCTGCCCACCTCTCGACGGCGAGCAGCAGGAACCAGAGGAAGTTGAGCAGCGGAAGGTAGAAGGGGGGACCCCTGGGCACACTCGGGTGCCGCCTGGTGTACGCCCAGAAGGCCAGCGTCGCAGTCGACGGGTTCCGTAGGCACAGGTACCTGCGACGAAGGGTGCACATGGTTCTGATTGCCCGTTTGCAAGCTCACGTCGCTCGACGACCGAGTTTTTGCGTCTTCCCCACGAAGGGAAAACAAACCGGCGCACCGGTACCGGTCTGTTCCAAAAATAACATTGCATGCACTAAAGCAACTAAATGACAAAGACAGAGTATCGCCCTCCCCTTTACTTTCGCCACCAACTCTTCACTGGCGGAGAAGGGGTTATGTGCGTCACAATCCACCGCGGCGCTCACAGGGAAGCGGCCTTGCAGAGCGCCGGGTTTGGGGCAATACGCGCGTTTCGCCCTGCAGTCCCGAAATTTAGGTCTTACGCCGAAGTCTGACGAGCAGAAAGCTTCTTAAACCTTCAAACATTGTGTGCCCCTTGAACACGTCCAAACGCTTTCTTTCCATAACGCAAGCGTTGTTTCCAAGCCACCGTTTCCGAGCAGACGACATGAAAACCTACGGCGCGCGCCTCCGAGCAGGGAGGGTGTAAAGATGAGAGCAGAACGCGGCAAATCGTAGGCGTTGACGTCGATGGTCCCGAAAAAAAAAATGAGGAGGAGAGCGACAGAAAAGCGGAGGAAGAAAGCAGACGATAGGTTAGGTGTGTTCATTTTGCCGCATTGAGCTGAAGTTGTTAGAGTGCTCAAAAACTTTATTTATTTTTATGCGGTGCACAACGATGGCGTTTACGTGCGAAGTATGCAAGAAAAGAGCCAGGTACAGACCCCATAGGTAATGCTTTGCTGCTTCGTGCATATTAGGATGTCGCCAGCGATACGGGTTCCTCGGGACCACCCACTGGGACCACCAAAGTCTGAATCTACGCCTTGCCGTTCTCAAGTGGCTGGAATGCATGGGACCTTTTTCTCTAGATCGGGGGTCTCCAAACTTCTTGGCTAAGGGGCCGGATTTCCAATCTGTCACACTCTCAAGGGCCACAAAAAAAAAAGAGTAATCATGAACAAAGGAAGACTAAGTAAATAAATCTAGATAAACTATAAAACACAGAAATCAATGTTTGAGTAAGTATGAAAAATAAATTTAAGGTGGATGAATACGTATACAACAAATTAAAACTTAATATTTAGCTAATTAGTCGTGATCAAGAAAACTCACCAGGCGAAAAAATCAAGGTGCATGGGAACTGTGGCACATTCGTGCAGTGCCGAAGACCAATGAGAATGACAGAACTAATGCTGGCAATATGCAATATAGCTGTGACACAGGACACTACCGTAATATCCCAAGCCATCACCCACGCCACGTTTTGGGAGAATATAAGATTTAAAAAAAAAAACGCAGAGTGATTGCCCACCCCTACAAATACCCCAATGCGAACTTTGCGATCTGCGAACATTCAACCTACCCGCATGACGCAGCCACAAACCTTACGGTTGGAGGACGTCCATGACAAAGTAAAACAAGGAGGGAAAGCCACTTCTCTTTGTTTACGCATTTCCTCCCCGATCTCCACGACCCCAAAGTTGTAGTACATGTGTGCAAAAGGAAAACAATGGAGATAAAAGAATGAAGCTGTGGTTTGCTGACAAAAAAGTTTGTTGGATAAAAAAAGAACGAAAGTTGGAAAGATTACACAGGCGGTAACCCATTCGGGAATCTCAAGATCAGCGAACACCCCATATCCTGGAATGTAACAGCGGGACGTTAGGTCAAAGCCCATCTCCACCGAACTAAAGTAGCCGCAAAGTTGAACCTGCTCCTTCTCCGGAACGTCGTGACCACGGTTGGTAAGGTTGTGCAACGTTTAAAAGAAAACAAACAGGTGAATAAAGAGGTTTGCTGGAATACTGCACACAGACGTTTGTAGAGCATCCCATTTCGAGCTCCGTGTTTGTGCGGCCGTGCACGTCATGCAGCAACACCACCTCAACCCACACTGATAGCATGCCACGCACGGACGCATGCATGTATGCACCAAAAAAGAAAGTTGCATAGGATCCTGCTCCTTGCGATGGACAACGCGCCCAACGTGGCCCAACACCAAAGTATTTGCCAAAGTAGTCACCGGCTGTCTCGCTTCCCCAGCATCGCTCTTTGTCGCATCTTTTGTCAGCTCGCTCGTTGTGCCTGGTTGGTTTTGCTATTACCTTGTTGACCATTCTTTTTTTTTTTTTTTACCAACAAAGAGAACATAACTAAAAACATGCTTTGACAGAAAAAACATTTGCGCTCTATGCCGATCGGCGGTGCTCACTGCACGAATGCAAAGAACGGACTTTGCGATAGTAAAACATTCTTTCATGAACATTTCTTGCATAAAACAATGAAACTAATTTGAGTTTTAAATGTAATGTACCTCTTGTGCAGTCACGCTAAATACGTACAAAAAAAAAAGTCTTTTTTTTTTGTCTGTTTACACATTGCGACATGGCCCACCCTACCTTTTCTATGCCTTTCAGGCGGCAGAGGGGTGGGTGATGACTCGGGATATTACGTATGCACAATGTACACGAGAACAAATTGAAATTTTAACATTGTTACACAGGCATGAAGCAGGGGACTGAGAATGGTATTGCTAGTGATGACAACTTCAGTTAATAATAGGCAAGGTCCTGCGTCATGTTGCAGTTTCTCTCATTCTTTCTTGTATCTTAGTTTAAGCATTTGGAGTTCATCGCGGTGCCACTTATTTATGCAGACTTCTTTTTGCGCAGCTAGTGGTTCCGCATGAAATGGGCCGCAGGCCGGGCCGCCCACACTCTGTACCGCAAGTGGAGCACACACTGTCCTTCTAGTCAAAGCGCCACCGACAACGCCCCCCTAGGGCCACTCACTGGAACACGGTCTGTGCGATGAACAGGTCGATCTCGCTGCTGTACCCCTTGGTCGTCTGGAACTCGACCAGCATGGCGGCGCAGCCGTCGCCGTCCGTCGAGTGGACAAAGTGGTAGCGCGACTCCTGGTAGTTCTTCTCCTTCCACAGGGTGAGCGCCACCAGCCGGTGGAGGGCCGGGTGGCCCCGGGAGGGCGCGTCCGGGGAAGAGGAGGGCGGGCTCGACCACTGCAGGGCCCGGGTCAGGAAGGTCATCCGCTCGGGAGAGTGCGCGGCCAGCAGGCTGTGCAGCCGCCCCAGCCGCTCTGGGAGGGGCAGGAAATGCGTTTGAGGGAGAGGGTATAGAGCGAGACAAGCCCGGACAGAGGAAGCGCCTTGAGACCGCGAGGTCACAGGACTACGTCACGTGATACTGGGATGTCGCAGTGTCACATCCTTTTCACAGTGTGTCGCAGGACATAGTGGTGTCGTTACATTCTAACTGAAGCTGGCTCAGATGTGGCGGCCAAGGGAGGTGAAGCGTCCCCACTTCCCACTGCCACCAGATCTGAGTAAGCTTCCATTCCAATGCAATCCTACATTAAAAAGAGCACTGCCCGCCACTATTATCACCTTAACCCCGACACCAAGTATGAAACGGTATATGCAATCTGCACCGATGGATTCATAGTTTCTAGGGTGCTATATACGGCAGAACATCTCACTTGTGAAGATACGATGCAAAACAAAAACCTAACCTAAAAATACTCATTGCCTGCCACGACTGGCCACCTCAACCCTGACACCATGCATGAACGGGTGAATGCAATTTGTGCTGATAAATTCAAAGTTTCTATCTTCTTACATATGGTAGAACCAAGTATCTATATTGAAGCCTTATATACTAAATGGATGGATATGAAGAAACAAGACTGAAGAATGGTTTTAATACTGGTACACACGATTAAAAAAAAAAAAACTGAACTAAAAGCAACCACTATCCACCATTACTGGTAGCCCAAGTCCCGCCTCCAAGCTGGAAAGATTGTGATTTGTGCCGAGGAATTAGGAGCTACTAGAGTGCTAGGTCCAACAAAGCCTCTCTGTAACCAAAGCTGAAGTCTGCTTGTAGTGTACTGGTACAAACAAGATATTTATTGTACAGGTGTCTTAAACTGTGGTATCAGTAATGTAGATCAAACAACTGCATCAGCAGCTATCAGCAAAAAGACACTTGTAACAAAAGAAATGATAGGTTTAAAAATCAGGATGTACTACAGAAGCAGCATCGCAGAGCAGACAGTTTTTAGGCTAGGTGGCACGAGCTACTGCCAGTTATAGACGGTACAGTCATTAATATCCATCCATCCATCCAAATTTGTTTCCACTCCTCAATTCGACACAAATAAATCTTGCATAAAAGCTTTTTTTTTTTTTTTTTAAATTTGGTTATTCTAAATACTTCAAAGGCCTTTCAGCATAATGTGTGGGGTACTATGCAGCTTAACAGGGGGCTTCTCATTCCCATCTGCCCTGCCCTGCCCCCCCTCCCCACACCCCCCCCCCCCCCCCCAAAAAAAAAAATTCCTACAACAAAAAAAAAATTTACAGCCTCAATTTTACTAGCTTAAACAGTGACACGGTATCTATGCTTACCAGGGTTTTTATTTGTACTTGACATATGAGAGCCCAAGTACCCAGAAAACAATTTGCGGCTCGAAATTCGTTTTCTTTCCGCTTTCCTCCAATTAGGATGAAGAATACTTTAAAAGGGCACAAACTCTGGGAATGTCCATCTCCAACGTTCATATCATAATAAAGTGGGGCATCACCGCAATTGGCTCACCAATGTGTTCCTCCGTGGGTTTGGTCTCGGACTGGACGAGGATGTCCACCAAGAGATTGGCCAGGTCGGCTCCGCTATTGCACTGGCAGGAGTAAAAAGATGCGGCAAAATCAATCACCGGCAGTTGACGACAATGGTTAAGAGCTTAGTGGCACGGCAGCAACGAAGGCTACTGTGTGCCAAGCTAATCACTCCGCTTTACCATAACGTGTCAAACGCCGAAGATTATAGATCCCTTGAGCCAATCGATGCGTCAGTGCAAGGCACATAACATACTGTCGGAGCGCAATCGTCCTGCGGGGAGCTACCACATGCTTCGCTCCAACTGGCTCGATGGGGTCCATACAGCAAGTTATGATATAACAGAGTACTGAGTGTTAATTAAAAAGAAGAGTAAATGCATCACCGGACGTTAGGTCTCCATCAAAATGGAGCGCTGGCAGCTATGACCGGACACCAAACTTTCCAAACTTACTGTCGTCCAATTTATAAAGTTATAAGCGATTTTCCGCAATTTTCAATAAGAAAGTGACGGCCTACGAAGTATGTGGAGATAAATGGCGCCTGCTACAAAGAATGGGCCTCCATTTTCTCGTTGAAAACTTCCAAAAATCGCTCTTAACTTTTGAATTGGACGACGGTAAGTCCTGAAACTTTGGCACCTGGTCCAGAGTGCTAGTGCTACATTTAATCGGGGACTGAGCGTTCGACGACGTATAGTAGTTAATTTTCGAAGTGAGAAACACACTTTTTTTTTCTCCCTCTCTCATAGCCAGTACATTTTCAGACACATCCTAACAGGGACCGCTCCCCAACCGGGCGTCCATACAGTGAAACCGGTAATGAATGAGACATCATTGACTCTGCATGGTAATAAACTCTTCAAAGCATGTCATGTAAAAAAAAAAGATGCAAAAATAATTAGCAGTTGAAAATCCAAGCGGTACCTCCCCTTCCATTGTATTCTTGGTAGAAACTGAACCTTGGTAAAAAATAATGGTACTTTCCTTACACCATTTCTTGCAAAAAGAAAGAAAAGGAAATTTACCAAATTTAAGCAACAGAAGGTTTGGTTAACAAAATTCTGGATCAAAGACAAACCATGCCGATATTAAGCGGAACAAAATAAACAACAAAACAATAAAGCACAATCCCCTTCTTGTTTTCTGGTTTCATTTAACATCTACTTTTAACCAATGCATACAGTGCAAACATAATGAACTACATATTTGTAAAATATTTGTTATTTTAGAAACAAATTCATTATATGTTTCTCTCTCATCATGCAAAAAGCATCATCGGTGTATACACTGCAGATGCATATGTCCTGGTTAGCACACTAAAGTTTATTGAAAATGTTGATGTACGCATCGGTGTAACCATAGTAAAACCATCAGACAATGTTACACTGCTTCTACATTCATTAACACAAACTAAGTTAGCTACGGATAACTAAGAAATAATGTAAACTGTTTGCTCTACCAGTAGAACTAGAATTCAGAGGTAACCACATCACTGCAAACAATTTTACATGCATAATATGCCCTAACAACACAATGCACCTACACAAAATTTAATTCTTATATGCATTGCACATGTCACTTTTATGTTATACAGTCTTGTCTGGACAGTGTAGTTTAGCAACGAGACAAAAAATAGGTCGGGTTAAGTTTCTTTATAAGACTGTTTGTGGTCATCTGCCACTGCAACTTAATTGTGACTCTGGAATTAGCAAAGCTAAATCCCTGAGCCGTTGCGTAGAACTAATTCATCTCAAGCATCCTTCTTATGGCAAATTCCGCTGGTAAATTTGAAGCGGTTACGCCACACTTTTTTCTTCGTATCTTCATGCACGTGCAAATACGAGCTAGCATTCGCTGCTCTAAACACGTGAGCATGAAGAGATTTCGGATCATTCCAAATCTACCAGCGGAATTCGGCATAACACGATGCTATGACCAAAGTGAACAAGCTACTCAAGAGTGTCGTCAGTTGAGCATCACCGATTACTTTAAGGACGCACTATATAGGCACATCCTTGTCATTTAGATGGCTTCGCAGCCTTGCCATATTTTTTTTTTTTATTCGCGGTTCTGTGCATATGCATTTTTTGCCTTAGCATTTATACAACATACTGGCAGTATAGGCAAATATATAAATAAGCGACCCCAGCCGGCTTTGACGAGGCTAATGTATGCGTAACGCACAATGCCACAGACAGGACGACAGTACATGGAGCAAGCGTCAGCAATAGAGCAGGTGCCGCTTTAATGATTGTGGAAGAGATACACGCCCATGCAGATGCAAGGACAGCTTTGTTGACCAACGAAGGAGACGTACCTACCTGTTGCAGCGTGAGCAGTTTGATGGCTCCGTCATACAGCAATTCCTTGAGCTCGTCATATTTCTTCTGGCTTTGATACCTGAAAATGTTTGAAACGCACATGGATACAGTCGTGGTAATAAACTAGGACGCAATACAACTCCTCGGTTGCAACAAGCGAGACATGTATATTCGTAGGGGTCATTCTGCAAAGGCTTCTCAACGTTCACTAGTGTGCATTTTATATAGGCCAGTAACCCTAAATGGATATGAGTAGTCGACAATAGAATGAACTAGAATGCATGCCAATGCTTGTTTGCAATAAGCGAAATCCTTACGGGTAGATGTATTCGTAAGGGTTGTTTTACGACGCTTCTCAGCACTCAGTACTGTGCAAGACTTTTGTATAGCAATAATTCAAAACTCACAAAGGTGCAGTCGTGGTCAGAATAAACTAGAATACAATGCAACCCCTTGGTAGTGACGGGTGAGACATGCATGTTTGTAAGGGCTGTCTTGCAAAGGCTTCTCAACTACTCAATAACGTGCAAATTTTCTACTAAGCAATAGCCCAAAACTCGCGCAGGTACAGTGGTTGTCAAAATAGACTAGAACGTACAATGGCACCAACCGACATAGAAGACGTCATTAGGTAGGCGAGCTGGTTGTTAACCGACATACCGAAACCGAAGACGGAGGCAAAAAGAAGTAACGGAAGTAATTGAGACATTGTGTTTTGTCCTCCGTTTCGCCTCAATCTCAGGTTTCAGTATGCAGACCCATGTATTCATTCCAAAGTATCGCTTTGCAAGACTTCTCAAGATTCACTATTGCGCAAACCTTACACAAGCCAAGACTCCAAATGCATACGGAAAAAGAGTTGGTCAGAATGAGCTACAACACCGGACAAACTCGGTAGCAACAAGTAAAATATACCCGATTGGTTCCTTTTGCAATGCTTCTCAACAATCATTGAAGCGCAGATTTTATACAAAGAAAAGCCCCCAAAGCACACGAGTACGGTCGCGGCCACAATAAGCTATAACGTATAACCCCCAATCGATGGACATACTCGCAGTGAGTAAAAGATATGTCCTTTCAGCCCTGCTTGTATGTTGTTCCCAACGTCCAAGGCCACACACATTTAATCTACGCGAGATTAGATTTGTTCGTGCATTCATTTTAATTTTGTCCGGTACGGCGGGTGAATCAAGCCAGAGTCGAAATGACGGAACGTCCAAACCTACGTACGAAAATCCCACGCGGTATCCCACGTACGTACGTTGTTTTTGTTCGGCTGCGACATTTTAAACGCTTTTTACCATCGAATCTGTAAAACACTGAAAAGCGCCGAAATAAATAAAATAGAAAACATCTATGGTGTTGGTTTCTTTGACCAACAAGCCAGTTCCAGATATGGGAAGGTCGGAGTCATTTTTACTTTTATTTTTAATTTATTTAATGGGATGAAGTGTTTGAACTGCGGTGCGCGATATGCAACGCGATTACAGAGTGTGGCAGCGATATCGCGATTTATTTTATGACATCTTAGTTTGCGTGGATAGGAGCGGTGCATTTGAGCGACAGATTTAGAAGACAGTAATTGAGTTTTCTCGTCTGCTAATACATTCCAGCGCGTGGGATGTATTGTGCTACGTGGGGTTACGGTCCCTGCCCAGGCCCGGAATGTTGCGTTGGTGTTGCGCGGTTTAGCGTCGCGGTCGCTACCGTGCGGTGACGGTTGTTCGAGACTTACCTGAAATAAATCGTCCTGTACATTTGATGGGCCTCATAATAATTTCCGGAGTCTATTGAGGCGTGCAATTTGTTTAAAACCCTTGCGGTTCCCGTCACCCGCGCCGCCATTTTGACCAGCCCATCAGCTAAACCTAAAATGTGATTCAGTACATAAAGCCATTGTTTTAGTTCGTTTTATTCCTACAATTTGTTCGTTAAAAACAAATAAGTACTTTCAAACTATTTATTTATTTATTTATTTGTTTATTAAAAAGCTTGTTATAACACTCAGGATTTCGCTTGCGTTCTTAAAATGTGCTCTCCCCCGGGTTTTTATAAAGCGTTTGTTTGTGCTCTACTTTGTGCACTAGAGTTATTAACTCACTCTAAGTTATCGAAAATAATGAGTCGCAGTGCAATGGGAGAAAGTTGAAAAAAACTTGAAATGCTTGCGAGATGACCTCTGGTCGTGACTTTCTGACTAAAAATACGCTAGAAGAACTCAGTTTTCTAATATCGTTTAGCACTGCCGAGCAAAAATCTACGCTTTTTTGGTTTATAGTGTTATAAATACCAGAGACGGACGTCATCGTGTGCTCACATGATAGTGTCTACGGTAATCGTCACAATATGACACAAAGCGCATAACCGAGTAAGCCTCATCTTTAATGAGTTTTTGCCCAAAATTTATCGCCTTTTATTAGGGTTCCTTCTGCAGACAAGGTGCAAGTCCACTTGTGAGGAGCTCCAGAATTTTCTACCTCTTTATAATGTCCGAACACATTGTACGTGTTTCTTCGATTATGTACGCGAATTTTGGTTGCTCACGGCGCGTTTCGTTGGAAAATATGAACGTCTCTCGAGGCGTCTTTCGTCCAAATTTGTGATCGTCACAACTTCCGACCGGCCGATGTGATCATGTGGCTGAACCATGCCAGCCTAGCATTTGAAACGGTCGTTAGCAGTCGAAGTCATGTTATAAGGGATCATAATTCGCCCAGGAATCGGCAGACATTTATCCCACTTCTGTAGGAACCGTCAAAATCCTACAGAGTAAAAGTTCGGATTCAAAATTAAATTCACTTGCCGAAGTCTTAGTTTTTAGATAGTCCGGCATAATGACACTGTTAGAGTTTTGAATGCTATCTTTCCTGACAATGTAGATTAACTTTTCATTATTTGCGTTGAAGAAACGCAAGAGTGGGGTGATGGTCGTACCGTTCTAATCGAATATGAATCATCTTATTTCTCAACGTATCGAAAAAGAGAAAGAGAGCTGGTTTAAGTTTTAGTGAAACACAGTTTAAGCTGTGTCACTCACAGTAGCGCTGCCTAAAATCGTCATTTCTGAAGTTTTATAAGCATACATTCAAATTTTCTGCCAAATCCTTGCAGAACCAGCACCGTTCAAAGACTTGCAACCGAGGAGGGTGGAGAGAGACGAGACCAGTTTTTAAGCCTCTTGCGACATCTTGGGACTGGATGCACTACTGCAGAGCTGGTCCCAAGACGTCGCAAGAGGCTTAAACTCTGGTCTTGTCTCCCTCTGCCCTGGTCGGTTGCAAGTGTGTGAATGACGCTTAACTCTTTTCTTCGACATCTAGTAAATCTCATTATCCCACCAGTGTTCCAGTGAACAGAGGCCAGTCACGGATGGATGGGTATATGGATAAATGTCAGTGGCCATACCCTTTGTAATGGGTGGCAGCTTACGCCACCTAGCCTAAGTCTATAGAGACAAACATGATTCCTCCCACCCTTCTAAGGCCAATTTTCTCCCCCTATCACCAGGCAGTGTGGGATATCACCAGGATGACCTTTGGGGGATTGGGCAAAAAAACTAAAAACATTACCTTCCGCCCCGCTTCTTCCTCCTAGCGAGGGAGTCCCAATTTTCCTCTGTTTTGCCTGTTCCCAGCTGTGCTAGTTAGCTGTTCATCATTCAATTTTCCCTAGACAATTTCCACCAATCTTCTAATCGTCCCTTTGTGACTCTTGTCCTATTCTCTTCTGCCCTTCCATCGTCGCCAGTAAAACCCAGGACCCCGGCCAATTCCGTTACCCTTCAGGGAGGGCATAGCAAAGCCCCGTGCACACCAAAACCAAGTGCTCTAGTGTCTTGCTCTCATTATGGCAGGCGGCACATAATATGTGTCTCCTGAAATTTGGCCCTATACATCCTCGTCCTCAAAACTCCCATTCTCGTCTCAAACAGTAAAGAATTTCCCGGTGAATTGTCAAACACATTTTCCTTACTTATGTCCTGGTTTTTTTTACCTGTACATTGTTAGAGCTGATTGTTCCTGCTCTCTTATTTCCCACATTTATTTTACTGCCTCTTTGACTCCCTGTTCTACTGAAGTAGTCTGCTCAGCCCCATCACTAGAGTGTAGGTATTTAAATGTATCTTTCGGGTTTGGTTTGTTCATTTTCTGTTTAAGCTTTTCATGTATAAATACTTGAATACCTTCCGTGCCCACCGCGTATCATCCATTTCGGTCAACTTTTGTTCAAATTTCCACTTACTAATTGCTTCCCTTCTCTCAAAAGACGACCAGCCCATGTCCTCCTGTACTCCCTCATTTGGTATCTTTCCATGTGCTCCCAGTGCCAATCCGCCTATGCTTCTTTGATGAATTTCTAATCCTGATTGAACCTCCAATTTTATACACAGTACCCCATTACCAAAAGACAGTCCCAGTACCATCACTCCTTTCCATATACCTCTGACCACTTCATATCTCTTATAGTTCCATAGTGCTTGACGTTCATAGTAGATGAATTTCTTTTCCCTTTTCTAATTATATCCTCCTCTTGATATTTCCTTCCCTCATTGAGCCAGACTCCCAGATATTTGTATTTTCCTACACGGCCTATTCAATGTCTTGTATCCTCAGGGGTTCCCTCTTTCCATCGTTAAACACCACTACTCCAGAGTTGGCACTAATAAAACTCATACCCAAGGTGTCCCCTTCCTCTCCACATATTCCAGCTAGTTCCTGTAACGTATCCTGCTTATCAGCCATGAGTACTATGCTGTCCGCATACATCAGACGTGGTATTACCTGTATTATATTTCTCCCTCCTTCCATATAACTCTCATCAAAACCTAAATTGCTCTGTTTAAGTTTTTTTTCCCCTTTCACTGAGATATATCATGAAAAGCAGAGGTGACAGTAAACAGTTCTGCCTGCGCCCTCTTTTCTCTTCACTGCAACTATCGTGCCTGGGGCGTCTTTAGCTGTGCATCTAGCGTTCTGTACCGCCTATGCATTGCGTTGTCCCCCAAACAACAACAATGCCATATTTGCAGCAGTTTGAGGCTCGCTTCAGGCTCTGCAGCATGACTTTGTGTGCAGCCTAAACATTTGGCAGTAAGCTTCTCAAAATTGCCTCCAAAGCGCCCTTTTTCTTGTTTTTGCAATTCGACTGTCTCATCATGGCATTTTTCGTTCACAGGTATTAGAGAACATGTTGACCGACACCGTGCTTTTTCCCCCCTTTTCGTTTATTTCCGACGCTGGGTAGAAATCGTCTATCGGTATTGCCAAACGCAAACTGGGATTTCACCGCGGTGTACCTTATGAAAGCCCCCTGAATTTCTGCAACACTGGGTGACTTGGACGTCTTTTAGGTTTGCAAGCAGCAACTGGTAGGGGCGAACCACCATCCATAAGATGCTCCACCAATGGCTGCTCAAGTCGATTGAGGTGAGATGTCTTTTTAAACATTTCTGTGTCACTTACTTACCGCACAATAGGGAGTTCTAGAATGACGTACGCAATTTAAGCGTACGCTGGCACTAAATTTAGCATTTGCATTAGTGCACGCTATACAAGAGAGTTTTAGAATGGTGTTTCTCCGTTGCGAAGCAAAAATCCAAGTGTCTCGCGCTTGCAATGCCACCAAGGTGCAGCAACAATTTTTATTTCGCGCATGACGTGCTTTAACTCAAGAAACAAAACAAGTTTTTTGGTTTAAGTAACATTCTACATTGGTGAGAATGCGACTCGAGCATTCAACCAGTCATGTCCACTAACGAGAGAGGTTTCGTGTGCTGACCTTCGCACAGCCCTCATTCACTGAGAAACGTTTGCACGTCACAAGTCGCAAGTTGCCGGCAACCAACGCCCACCTTGCTGGGTCTTTCAAAGGATTTGTCATGTGCACCCCCCGTAGGAGTTCAATGTCACCCTGCATCGAACGTCGCAGCCGCGAGGATGCCGCCGATGTTAAGACCCGTTCGCACACTCGCGTCTGACTGCGGCCGACTCGGACAAGATCGGTTTTTAAGTCTCTTGCGACGGCTCACAACAGGCTGTGCAGCAGTGCAGCCATTTGGCTCACAACAGGCTGTGCAGCCATTTCACTCACAACCAGCTGTGGAGCGTCAGTCGTACTCGAGCACAAATGTGCGACGGGCCTTTTCTCACTCGCGACGACCGCCAAAACGGCGGCAGTCCCAGGAGATACCATTTTTCTAACTGCGCTCGTTTTGGCCTTAGCCAACTTCTTGCGCATCGCAAACCCTCCTTGGAGGAACGCAGACTCTTTGCACACCCACGCAATTTCTGAAAAATAGCGTGCGCAAGTTAGCGTTCGGCGCATGCGCAGTAGCGACGATGCTATTCTTTGTGTACGCTATTCTAAAACTCTTTAATAAAGGGGGGTACTGGTGGCCAAGTGTGTTAATGCGCTGCAGCTCGCAGCACATGGAGTGAAAGCTCATGCTGTGGAACCCGGGGATCCTGGGCTCAGTCCCCACCCCTGCCCGCTTCAATTAGAAAAGCATTGTACCGGCATGCAGTCTTATAATCGCTACTGCAGCTTGTACATTAAAGACCCCAGGCTAGTAGTGGGACGGCAATGGCTAAATTTCTCACTTGAAGCGGAGTCACCAGATTCCTGGGCATCTTGTGTCTCTGTTTACTACAGAAGTTCAACTTTTGGCAGTTGCAGCGTAACTTGATTTTCATTAGTGCAGTGTCACGTGTCACTGGCAACAAATTACTGGTAACATCGCAGGAAGAAGCAAACATGCATTGTGTCACTGAATACCAGTATGATAACTTGGTGCAAACTGCATCTCGCACCTCTATTACTACCTGCAGGATTCCTGATGAAAGTGGGTGTGGCGAAAGTAACATACTTTACCTCAGAGATACGAGTAGAGCTAGATACACACACTATCAAAGATATATATATTAGCTCCCCCGAGCTAAAGTGAATAGCAGACATCACATATCAGATTACTTCGATTAACTGTGGGAAACGAGCAATGTTATCACTGTTCAACACCAGTAATGTTGCTTACAAATCTTGAAAGGACAACATGTATTATTTTTAGTAGGAGCCTGTACCACCCCACTGCCACTAATAGATGTGACTTGCAGGTGCCAGCCGTCACTGATGAACATTAGAAAAATAATTCATGTATTGTAAAGTACCGGACAAGCACCCACTCAAACTTTGAAGATAATCGCAAAATATGGAGGATGGGCGCTTTCCCAGTCGTTGATTTCACATATAAATGCTCTGTGCGTATTTTCTCAGATCTTGCAAATTTGGAAAAGGGCGCTTAGTGTGGAATGGGTGGATGCGCGGTATTCTATGGTAGTTTTTTAGTTGGTACCAGTAGTATCGGTACCTCCCAGAAGATGACACTCCCTGTCAAGGCCCAGCCATTATTCCGTTCTGCCAGTTCTTGTGCAGCTGCGCAAAGCCTCGTTCCATTGAAACCTGTAGAACAGCCCACTGGTTCAGAAAAGTCTACTGCTAATGAACAGGCTGCTGGCTGGTGATGTCTGCTGCTTGTGATGTGGACCACTGGTGCCTGTGCAGGTGTTTACTTTGGCTAGAGAGAAGTGTACGAGTCTAGCAGTGGGTGGTAAAAATGCCTGCGGGAACCCTTTCAGGTCATGGACGAAGACTCCAGATCCACAGACTCGCCCGGGCAAAGCCAGCCCGGGACGCCACAGCAGGCGAGCAGTCATAGCCCGGGCGGTGCCAACCTTGCGGGCATGGTACCAGGAGAGGGCCCCCGGCACCAGCAGTCCAAGTACACACAGCTGCTGGCCGTCATCGAGGAACTGGGCCGCGACATCCGGCCAACGTATGCCGGCAGCAAGTCTTCGGCCGAACGTCTCAAGCGGGGCATCGTTCACGCTCGCATCTTAGTGCGGGAGTGCCTCATGGAGACCGAGCGCAATGCCAGGTCCTGAACTGTCTGCTGGTCCTTCAACAGTCTACTGGTCCTGAACAGTTCCCTTGTCTTGAATTGTGTACTGGTCCTGGAACAGCCTGCTTGTTTTGAAACAGCCTGCTGGTCTTGAAACAGCATACTAGTTATGGACAGGCTGGTTGGTGACATTGACTGGTGCAGGAAAGTCTACCGGAAACAAACCGACTACTGGCTGGCGATGTCTACTGGTTGTGTTGTGGACTACTGGTACCCGTGTGGGCATCTATTCTGGGTACATGAAAGGTTGGTCTGCAGACCAAAGAAAGTGGAACAAGTCCTCGTGGACCACCTGTTCCACTTGTGCAAATCTCCTGACTACTCGTGTGATCTCGCAGCAGTACAGTTGATTACTCCAGACTACTAATGTGGCTGAATCATTACTCTGTCTTCAATTTCGTGCATCCAATTTGTACTGACCTGTCGCTCAGATTGTTGAGCCGGGTTACTGGTGACCGATTCACTATCAGCGTGTCCGGCACTGGCTAGTTTGCATGATGCCTGTGCGTTCTCTTTCAAGCACCATAAGTAAAGTATTAGTGTGCTGATCCAGATGGATTGATTGGACAACCACAATCTAATGAACACAGACGCGGTGCCACATTGTTGCCAAACTCTTGATCAAGTGCACACTGTATTATTTAGGTGGTAGTTGACCTTAGGGACATATCCAATTAAACCAAAAGTCTTTTCTGTACCTGCCAATTCAAACAATGTGAAACACGCTGTCACTTTCTACTAATTTCTGCACCGTCTCATTTGTCTTCCAAGACTGACGCTGTTCTTTGTGTAACTTTCTCCAAGACCACTTATTCACCGTTCTGTATGCACATTGCATCTGTTTACTGGTGTCTGTCTCCGTACCCACCAGACTTTGCAACATTGCATTTGAGGTGGATCCTGATTTCCTATGCGCTTGTTGCTGCCGTATTGGTCTGTACGGATTGTTGCGATATCTGTAACCCGGACAGACTGCCGATTTATCTGCACACTGCTCGCCTTATCATTGTCTCGGAAAAGGCAATTTGTGACGTGTTGTCTGGGAAAGGTTGGGGAGATGGAACAAGGATTTGAACATACTGGAATGTTCTAAATGGCTGCAAAGAATAAAATGGTGTGCAAGAGACTGAACTGCCTGGTCAGTTAATTGTTGCATTTGTGGTCTGCCTTTTTGCTTTCAGTCTTGGAGGAGCACAATCAAAGGACTACCTCGAGACGTCTCGAAACACAAATAGTAAAGGAACAGGTATGCTTCATGGCACAGCTTGCATGAACATGGCGTCTGCTTTTTCGTGTTGGACGACATTTATCACCCAAGATGTGGCTTCACATTTACCACAAAGGTAGTTTTGATGACAATTTCAGCGGAAGGAGGAAGGGCAGAAAAATTCAGGAATAGTGCATTTTCACCGTGTTGCCATCTGTGCAGTAGTAAATTGAACAGGGAAGTACTGCTATTGGTACTATTGATAGTGCACCCTTGGCAGCCTAGAAACTTCCTGTTTTCTATGTAGTGTTTGCTACCATTCACAGATGGCATGGAACCCGCAAATAGCCATTCCACGGCCACTTTATAGTCATTCTAGCCCTTCTGGCACAGCCTTGTGGAAGGTACAAGCAAACGGGTATAAGGATGGTTCAATAACACCCGCGTTCAATATTGGCCGACGGTGACAGAACCTGTTTTAAGATTCTCTCACCACAAACATTCTCAAGTGTGCAAATCGGCCTTTAGAATGCACTTCCCTCACAGGAGTGCTCAAGCAAACGAAACACGTTTCGAAACTTGGCTCTTGCGTCTGTAGACCCGATAGGGTCGTTTTCTATTCCCACATTCCAGTGATGTAGCTGCAACCTTGATGATTTTCGGCGAACCACAATGACGGGCATGTAGGGGGCGATGAATGTGACTAACATGTCGCCTGCAACCTTGTGCTCGGTCGATGCACTCGCTACAAGAAGGATAAACTCTGAAAGACGTCGCGTGCCCAGAAATTCAAACTCGTTCGTCGTTGCTCATTTAATATGAAAAACTTGGGGCTCGTTGACACTCCTGAGTGCATTCAGGGTCACCTTATATGGATGGCCGTCGCAGTATATTACAAGGGGTCGTAATGCACCGGTCGTAAACAGTTGCAAGTATGTGAATCAGCCATTACTCGCGACATAGGGAGACACGCTAGGAAAGCCCAAGGATGCAAGTCGCTCGGTTCTGTGCAGCAAATTATGCGGCCTCCATAAACAAATACTGCTTCATAATAGAACGAGGGATGCATTTCGTCCGCCTGCAAGCTTGTACCATGACCAGAAGGGCTGGGACAATCCATTTTCCTTTAAGACGGCACGTGACAAGAGGGGCACTATATCCGAGCCAGTGAACCCCCATACGGCCGCCGTAAAGCATGAATCCTTTGGAAGTTGTAATCTGGCAAATGCTGCTTGGGCTGCCCTAAGGTCTAAAATAACCGAAGAGGCTGAACATCGGTTTTAAACAGCTGGCGACTGCTTACGACCGTCGACCAGCAGCGCTGCCGGTCACAAGAGGCTTAAAACCACCCTTTAGCCCCTTCCACTTATGTTTACTGTTACAGTGACAATCCTCGAGTCGAGCTACTATGCTGCTTCCCTGGAGCATAGGGAAGCAGTACAGTAGACTCTCATTAATTCAGACTACAGGAAGTCACAGGTTTTAGTTTGTATTATCAGAAGTTTGAATTATCAGAAATTCATCTAAACATGATACCAGACGACATTATGATTTGTTACGTGGACAGCTACTCATACAAAGCAGATTTTTGCCAGTTTCCTCTACATAGGCCTAATTATAAGCAAGTACAGGCATAACACATTGGTGAAAGAGCTGTGACATTAAGTTTATTCATCTCGCAAAAAGTTGTAGATTGTGGACTGTTTAGACAGCACATACGATCTGAAAACAAAATTTTCAACACCAGCCAACGCAAGTAGCTCTTTATGGGATTCTTCCTTTGCAGACAGAAATTTCTGGAGTTGAGCGATGTGCTCAAAGCTGTGGCTATGACAGTTGGTAGCAAGTCATCCCTTTCTTCATCGTCCTCTTCACTCTCACTGCTGCATTGTGCTGGCATTACTTCCTGTACTATGTCCTCTAATGAGTCATCATGACAAACACACGCATCGTCGTCAAGACTAGCATATTCCGCCAGCTCGGCATTCACATTATGTGCTTCAAGGCCAGAAAGCATGATGCCATTGAGCTGGTCCTTATCCTCCATGTCGTCTTGGTCATCATTGCTAGTCTTGAAGCACATAATGTGAACAACGTTTTCCGCTAATGTGTGCCCGCTTGAGCCCCATTGAGTGCACATCTTTCCGAGCACCAATGCACTGCAGAGAAGCAACACTTGCAAAAGCAAGCTCCGCAGGTATTGCTTCTCTGCGGTGCACCGGTGCTCGGAAGAGGCGCACTCAACGGGGCCGCGAGAACAAAAAAGTATGAATTAAGCGAAAACGCTGTTCGCATTAGGCGACTTATAAATACATTAAAAACATAGCGGGACAACCAAAATTTTCAAATCTTTTTGAATTAACCGGAAGTATGAAATATCCGAGTTTGAATTATCGCGAGCCTATTGTATACAAAACTTGTAAGTCTCGGGCACGGATAGTACTGCACTCCAGAACAACTTCAGGCAATCAGATGTAAAAATGTAACCTTCCTCATAACCTTCCTCCTATTTGTGCGCACAGCATTAAAGTTCTGGATGAATATGCTAAAAATGAATGGTCATTATCTGTTTGGGATTTACCCATCTATGCTTCAAATGTATGGTTACTAAACTGGCTGTATGCTTTCAGTTTTCTTTAAATATTTTTTGTTGTGTTTTATGTTCTTTCTGTTTTGCACCTTGCTTTAAAAACAAATATTGTGTTTGTCGTTGCTTTCATCGTTGCTGCTGAGGGAGAAAGAGGTTTGTCAGGCAACGATTGGGTTGCGTTTATCCCTGTCCTCATTCTCCATATTTAGAGATAAATAAAGTACTTGGAAGTAAATATCGTGCCAATTCGCGAGACTTCAGCAAAAAGAGGCACAAAAACTTTCCAAAATGCGACCCAACCTGTTGCAAAAGATTGACCAGAAGTCCTTTTTGTGCCCCGTTACCATGAAGGAAATGCAAGTACAGGATTTGGGCATCACCACCGCATTTTCAGATGACAGTTCCGATTGCGACAGAATGCAGATTAATCGACCCATACCCCGTAGCTGCACTGAAAAGTGCAGCATCAGTGCAAGCAGCCTAGACTCAAGGGCCAGTTGAAGATGCATGGCATTCACAAATCAAGAAAGGCAGACCTGCACTTATAACACAAATGGCAGGAGGTGCACATGACTCAAATATGCCCACAGGCACCCCTTTGGTGGCATCTAAAACCGTCTTAATGACATCCAGCAAGTTTTGTAACTATAAGAACACACCAAAAACACGAACTTGTCCATATGAGCAACGCAGTGGACGTTTTTTTTCATCTGGAAAAAAATACTTTATTGCTCACAACCCGTCTCTCCGTAAATAGGAAGTCGAGGATAGAAAAAAGATATACAACCCAGCGTGGCACGCTTTGCTGCCCGAAAAAATATGCACACTTCAAGGTCGTACCTTGAGGTTACACTTTTGGTAGTTTCAGGGACTTTCTGAGGACGCCTCACGGATGTGCCAGACCCTGTACGGGGTAACATCTTTGGATGTCTTTGAATATAAAAGAGTGACATTGCACAAAACTTCGCCTTTGGTATAGTATACGAGAGTCGTAACGGGCCGTCCGTGTAAAAGAGCTAAATACTTTGGAAAACCGTACACAACTGCACGCCCGGCGCACTTGCCCGGAGAGAAAGCTGGTACACATCCAGCCACACCGTGGAAGACACAGCATCTAATCTAACACTCGTAGCCATTTTTAACTAACACTATGTCTATCCTATAACTTCATAAAGAGTGAGGCCACTGGCGGCTCTTGTGACAGAGTGGGACAGAAGCCTCTCTTAAGGCACCTGAGAAAGCTTACATAGAGAACAGGCACAACTCTTCGAGCACAAGTGCAAATTCCTAACCAGTGCACAACACGCGCCCTACCAAATGCCTATGTACACCCAGGTTAGCACCAACATAGCGCCGACGGCACGTGGTACCATCACCTATGCCCTTCGGGCAATTGCTAACAAGATATTTAACCCAAGCCCGTTAAAACGGGTTTGTGAGCTGCGTTAAAGAAAAAAAAAACAGAAACGGCTAATGCAGCATTGCTGCTACGCTCTACAACTACTGCGACAATCTGAAAGGGGAGGGTGAAAAGGGACGCTGAAATGGTTTCTTTCTTATCTGAGGCCTCTGACCACCAAGCAGTACACAAAAAACTGTGCACCATCTGTACTGCGCCTCACCACGGTAGTTTGTCAAAAAGGCAAAGGCTACGGTCTCGGTGAGCGAATCGGTGAATTGAAATGACACATGTGACTATGCTCAGTCTCACTATAGTTGCACCCAGCCAACATTGTCTACAAGACAAGGCCAGAGTGCTGTCATTTTTGCGTCACCAGCAAAGGCTAACGTTGGACACAGATTGGAAACGAGTGCAGCGTCGGCGCACTGCTTCGAGTGGAATTTGAGCGTCGTGCCTGATCTCAGGCCCACGTTAGCCTTCGTTGATGGCGACATCAGTATCAGCACCACGACTTTTTTTATCTAGGAAGTGTTGGCCCAGCGCTGCCAAAGCCACGGGTGGGAGAGCGAGAGGAAAGCCGCTTTTGTACGAATTCGGAGTGACGGGCTAATCTCCTATGGGGACAAAAGTGACGTCTGGGACGCACAAAAGAGGGTAAAAAGGGAGTTAATCCCTCCCCCCTTCTCCAACTGCTTGGACCAACCCCTCGTCTCTGTATATTTGGTAGGAGCTGTCACGTGCTTCCTCCGTCGCTATGATTGGCTCAAACGGGCCGTAGCTTCGCTCTCTGCCAAGTTACATTGAAACGAAGTATATTAGTGGCGATACTACTGTCTTGGACGTCAATATACTGCAAGTATGTGCTCATAGATACACTGTCTTATCACTGGGGGAAGTCATGTTTTGCTCCCTCTGATACCACACCATTAAAAAAGTATTACCACCGGTGTGGTAGTAAGTCCAAAAGTCCAAAAACTACTCCTGACAGTTGAGCCTGACGTCACACGTAGTCTGAAGACATTTGTTTCGCCTTTCTGAGCTAGACAACCCCGTGGCACCAACCGTGCAGGCAAGGGCCCAAAAAGATTCAGATAAAAAAAAACGAAAAAATATGAGATTCGGGAGATTTTACACCAAATCCTCCTTCCCCGTTTTGTAAAAAAAACTTGGCTAAGCCCCCAGTGGTCGTCCGACAGGCTGTTCATCTACATCCTTGTTGGATCCCATTCAAAGTATTCATTGAACACAAAAAAAAAAAGCATCTCAGAAACGGCTAGGGCTACCGACCGCTCCCCACCTACCACACAAGCCATCCACAGTTTTTCGCGCGAGTGTGAAGCCACTCCGTTTGATTGGAAACAGTTGCGTCACTGCATAAACATCTGGGGCTCCCGTATACTGGAGCGAGCATAACAGTAATTAATTTAATTTAGATCATTTTTTAATGCATGCCACTCCTTTTGTGATTTTGTATTTCACACCACCATGAGACAGTAGTGCTTTGAGCAAGGTGCTGCGCTTTACGACGACTGACCCATGTTAATCGCAGCTCAGAAAGGTCTTGTGGACACGACTCAGTCAATATGACAATTTCGAACTTGGAGGAACTTTTGTGTTGTAGATCAGCTTTTGATTTCAACATGGTTAAGGTCGTCGAGATGCCTCATATGCTCCCATGAAACAACAAACATCATTTCACATTAGAAGTATCGTCAACATTAAAAATAGGAATAGATCTATCGTTTCTCTCATTCACCACCACATGACAGCACTGTGCACGCTGCTTACTCTCTCTGTGGAACACTAAGCTCTGCCCCACGAATTGGTTGCATCATGCACCCAAAGCAATGACTTTCCCTTTTTACCCCTGTTATTGCCAGTTTCCCACTTTTCCTGACTATATGTGCTCCTTTCTATATACAGAGGGCAAACCTGGGCAATGAAAAATGACAAGAGGATGGTTTGGAAGACTACCTCATGTGTGACATTCGACAAGAATGATTAACTCATACTCGTGGTGGATAGTGTGACCGTTCCATTTGTCTGAATGTTGTCTCAGACACAATGTTAGGCTTCGAGTTATCGGCTGTTGTTTCAAGGTTTTGTAACGACACCCAGTAATGAAGTTTGCACGGCGCACACCCTGGTTAGAGCACGACAGTTGCAGATCTCACTTTTTAGCTATACTGTGCTCAAAAGACTATTCTAGCTTTGAAATCAGCAAACACAAAAGTGAAGAAATAAAACCTCAATTTAAAAAAAAAAAAAAGGTTAGTGCTGTGAAAACATGCATGACAGATAACCCTTCATGTTGCCTGTAGAGGTGGCACCACTCAACGAAAACAGCTACCGCAGAACATGCAAGCAAGCAGGCTATGGAACTGGGGAAAAAAACAAAGCTATAGAATTAGGAAACAAAAGCTAGAGCATTCCCATAACATCAATGAAAAACTTTACGAATGGAAATACTGAACACTCCTTTCATCTGTGAAAGACAAAACTACTGATGCCACAACAAGAAATGTCCCTTGCAGCTTCCGTGACAGAAACCTGCCGCGTATGGAGGCCTTCTGGTTTAGGCACTGTGACTGTTATTGCCAGTGGTCTATATATTTGGTAAGAGGACATAAATCATGATAAATACCCTGAATAGAGGCTGCAAGGTCTCTAGGCTACGGATGAATGGATGGATGCATATGGCTGAACCCTTTAAACTGAACGGCAACTTGTGCCACCTACCCGGCATTTTTAATAGCAGCAGTTAACCCCTGCCTAATATTACCGAAATTTACAGTTATGCCTTTCACTACTAATACTGCTAAAGGTTACGAATATAAAATTAAAATCACCCGATCTGCTAGCACCATCTACTGGTGTGGTGTTCCAGAGCAGAAACCTGTTACCTCTGGGACCTTTGTATTCGTGCAGTGCCCAGTATTTACCCTTAGTGAAGCTTTCGCTTCTATCATGGATCCCCTTTATGCAACCCTTTTACGGGAATTCAACGGCTCCCACATCGGTATGCAATCCATTCCAGAATGCAAAACCAGAATTCCAATAAGCGAGGCTTCTGCAACACTCTTTGCCATCTAGAGTGCTAGTCATACTCGGAGCCGATGGTGATGCTGAGGTCACCGGGCTCTACCCAGGTGCCGTGGTACCAGCGGTTGGTGTTGAGCATCACCAAGTCGCCGGGACGGACGGTCACCGTCAGGGACCGGACGCAGACCTCCTCGCATTCTGGCGGTGGTACGAGGGTCCAGGTCTTGCTGCCACGAATCTGGGCCTGCCAAGATGGCCGCTGCACATAGTCCAGCTGGGCACGACGGGAGACAGGCAGCAAGTGGTCAGACATGGTTGCGGTAACCAGCAGATGTACATCTCGTGGAGGTGAAGCCAGAAGTGTGGAGGGTGACGTCCCAAAGATGACCAAAACCAAGAGACGCTATCGGACGAAAAGGAGAGCTGACTCAACAGCTGTTTCGGTCACCCTCGGGGCCCCCCCAAGGGTGACTAGAACAGCTGTTGGCACCAGGTCAGTCTAATAGCGTCTCCTGGTTTTGATCATTGTTGGGGCGTGTCCCTCCACACTTCTGGCTTTAGCTCTGGTGGCGTCATGTCGCCTCCAGAAGCTTCCTACCTGCATGAGATGTACACTGCACAACGCGATCAGCTTGATCACGACGTCCGCGCTCTTTTAGGGCATTGTTCGTAAATGGTAAAGCGACTGAAACCAGATACTGCCGCTTACGTCGTTAGTAGCTGCCACGAGGACATCGAACCATATTTTTAGTTTTGTTGACAGCATTCCGGATTTGAGAAAAAAAACTGTCCATGGCTTGTTCATGCTAACGTTGTCTTGCCCTCTACTAGCCAGTGTAGTCTGTTTTGTTTTGGGTGCTAGGGTGCTGAACACGAAATCATAATAAGAAGCAGTCAAAAAACAAGTAAAAAACAAAAGGCACTCTTTTTTTTCTTCTTGAGTGTAGACAGCATTTACAGGCACTGAAAAGGTCATCAGCAATGATGATGATGATGATGATGATGATAACAGAAAAGGTGCTGTCACAGAGAGTTTGACCAGCTTGAATGATTTAGTTTTCATAGTGTTGGCCATGACGGCCAACATAAGGTGAAGCATGGATAAACATTGTAGCAACTGCCAATTACCACTCGGATAGCATCTTCACAAAATATATCCACAGTTAAATACCGTTCACATACTGCATGGGTATTCACAGTGTGTTGTGAGCAGCTCTTACAGTTATATTCTGACGTTTTTCCTACAAGACTAAGGGTCTCCAGTCATTGATTACCACACACAGGATTAAATACCAGTACCAGTAGCTTTGCTTTCACAGCCACATTGCATTACCCACGTTTTTGTCAGGAACACAATGCACTCTCTTTTGTGCTGCATAGCTCCACTTGAACTCTTTCTTCACCGGCTGCAAACAGCACCTATGGACTTCTATGCAACCGAAGGACAGTATCCACTTTGTTGCATATATAAATAAATGACGGTGTGAGAGCTACAAAATTGTTGTTGTAGCAGCATTAGACGATGAAAGAAAGGAGCGTTAATTCTTTGAGGATATATATCTCTTTTGACTGAAATCCTATTGCAATAGTCCCCAGATGTCATTTAGAAAGCTACTGCCAAGTGGCACCACTCTTTGTATTATCATCAATACAACCTGCTGCCATGAGAAAATTATGCATTCTTTATAAACTTTTTTTTTTTTTTTAAGAAATCGGAAGAAATTTTATGCACCATAAAGATATATATTAGCACAATTAAACACGAAATACAAAACATGCTCAAAGCACTCATACAAAATGAATGCAAGAGGCACAAAGAAAATGAAACAAATAATAAAGTAAAGCAAAAAAATTAAATAAAAAGGAGACACAAAGGCATGTCACAGTCTGCAATGTTCCAAAGCCTCGAAAAGAAACAACGACGCAACAAAACCAAGTTTTAGATGCACCCTGCGTGCACTTAAAAATAAAAATGTACGTCATGTAGGCCCCTTCTGTCGATCTCACGTGGGTTTGTCACTCACGTGGGTGGTGGCTCCGTTGCCAGAGTAGCCCATGAAGATCCAGTCGATGACACTGGCTTCCGAGTCTTGCGGCAGAAACTCCGGCCTCGTGTAGTACTCTCTCAGGACCTTGGCCACTCTCTGGTCACAGTTGCTCCTGCCAACAACACTAAGGCTTCAGCTGGCAGCGTCAATCGTCCAAAAGGCAAAGTATACTCCAATTCGCCTTAACCCCTTGCCTAGTAATAAGGAGTGTCACTTGTGTCACCCCCTGCCGACCATTAGGCCGAACCACGAGGGCAAAAAACGAGGACAAAGTAAAAGGTAACCAACAGGACACGGCACTGAGTATCAACCAAAGTTCATTTGTGTTGATGTCTACTGTAAAGTATTTGTCGGTTACCTTTTACTCTGTCCTTGTCTTTGGGCTGTTTTTGTTTTCATTATGTCTGTATACCAACTAGCCCAAACTTTATTGTTGATCGACTTACTATGGCACTGCTTTCTCCAAGAGCTTCCCGGGTATCCACATAGTCTTAGAATTGTCAGGCTCACTGACTGGTATGCGATGGTGACGCCATAACATTCGCATCAAAATTAAACTCAAGTTAGATCAGCATTTGTGTGTATATATATATATATATATATATATACACCTCATTCAAACTACAGAGAAATCAGTATGCTTGTCGAGGAGTCAAAATTTCTAAATTATGTGGTCCTCTGCTCTGCCATGTTCTACTGAAGGCCCTGGAAGTGATCAGATGGCCATCAGACAGTGAATGGCTACCAAAAAGGAGCTCATGTTGGTAGGCAACTAAATAAATTAAAATCACAATTAAAAAAATGTTTTCTTTATTTAAGTCAAAATAATTTTATTTAAATCATATTAATTTGATTTAAATCACTGTAGTTAGAAAATAATGGTTATTTACCGCTATAGTTACTGACAGCACAAGAACCCAGAGGGAAAGGAAGTAGGCGGAATGCTGGAGAGAGAGGATGTTTCCTCCTCTCCAGCATTCCATCTGCTTCCTCCTCCCCAGCCTCCTTTTTCTCGCCCTCAGTTCTTAACCTGTCACTGCCCATCAATGTATATTTAAACATGGTAGATTGATTTATCAATTCAGTCGATCACTGATAACAATGAAGAAGAAAATTAAGGTATGTTAAAGTATAGTACAATTTACTTTTTATTGATGTAATCACCACCATTCTAGAAAAGAAACAGCATAACAATAATAATCTCTGGAGAAGGGGGAACAAGGGCGAGAAAGGTTATACACGAATCTCCAAACACATCTAGGTGACTGGTGCGCAACTGAAAAAATCCGCCTGCTCCTGGTATTGAACCAGGGACTTCTGCAACTGAGCTAACCAGGAGTTGGACATCAGTAGAGCAAATAGGTTTTAATGGCTGCCACCAGTCCAACACCAACAAAGATGAACGGCCCAAAACACTTGTCTTGTACCAGTCACCTAGCTGCGTTGGGAAATTTGTGTTTGTGCTCTGTCCCACTTCTTCCCCCTCTCCAGGGATTATTATTGTCACTCTTGTCCTGCTTGCGGCACCGTTGCATTAGTCGCATTACCATAATTACAAAACAGCTCAATGTTTTTTTAGTTAGAAAGTTTTTAAAGCATAGCTTTTAGGTGCCCGTTTCCGGGTTTCGCAGAGTCGGCGCCGCCGTAACCGCCCCGCTGAATTTAGCGGGAAATTGAATTGGCACTGAGGTCACGCAACGTCAATTTTGTGCTAAATTTACCAGGGAAAATGACGTCATGTGACTATGTGTCACGTCACCCCTGAAGAAATTCAGGCTCTCTGCTAGATTTACAGGGGAAATTTACGCCACGTGACCTTAACACCAATTTGAATTGTACGGAGAAGGAGGGGGGCATAACCTCCCCTCCCTACCCTCCTCCTCCTCAAGAGTTGTGCTCCCATTTCGCGTTACAGAAATTTGTAAACGTCTCACTTTTTTTCTCTTTTTTTTTGTCTGTGTGTTCTGATTTTGTTGCAATAGGACCTTGTACCCGTTCCTTTCTTCTGCATTCAGACTTTGTTGCAATAGGACGTACGTTCTTTTTATTTTATTTTTTATTTTTTTATTTAAAAGCAAAACAAATGCACAGAAAAGCATCGAACGATAGGCAAAAGGTAAATAAAAAAAATATTTTGGAGGTTATTTTTGTGAAGAAGTTTTGATTTCAGTCATCATAGTAAAACTGGTCCGATTTAATCACGATTTAAATCATACTGGTTTTCATTCTTGACTCTGGTGCAAATGTGGTGAAATGACACAGACCAAAAAAGACCAAATCCATCAACACCTCTCAATTCAGTTCACACCCCCAGATCAATATTTATCTGCTAAACTTCCCTTCATCTTTTAAAAGATAAATAAAATTACTAAACTGCAACGAACTAAAGAGTGACCGAGTCTGACAGACTTACCATCCGACGTACCACGTCTTCGCTTCGGGATCGGTCAGGTCCGCCCGGGAATCGGGCATCCCAAGGAAGTCTTCAAGGTCCTCGAACTCTGTCTTGTACTTGAAGAACTGGCAGTAGTCCCTGTTGTTCTTGAACGAGCCGCTCACGTTCCGGTACAGTTCCCTGAAGAAGGCAAAGCTGAAGACCGCCATGGCCTTCCAGCGTCTGGCGGCGCCCCTCAGCACGATCGGCCTGTCCGAGTAACCAAGGCGCAGGAAGTCCTCTTTGGTCATCTCCTCGAGCTCGACAACGCTCGCGGGCGACTGGCAGAAGTCGCAAGACGTTATCGGACGTGTCAGTTCGAGGAACAGCCCGCCGCGGTCGACGACGCACGGCCAAGCACCGAGCTCTGAAAACCATCCCCCACCGGCGGCCAAGGCAACGGCAACGCTCAGTATGACCAAACCCCATTTTAGAGTCCGGCTACAACGGGTCCGAGGTCCCTGTCCGACTCGTTTCAGATGTTTCAGAACGCAACTTGAGATGACGGAATCTGAGAGACCGGCCGCGGTAGCTCTTTGCCGGAGCAGGGCCAACTGTTTCCGGAGCTGCGCTTGAGGAGTGGCGTCTCGACGGCCTTTTGCCATACCATCGGATTGATGTCATTTTAGTTGAGCGGTCTTCGCGGATGACTGAAGTACATATATATCAGGTTCGAACGGAAGGTTGGATTAGATGTAAGCGAGCGGTACGTGCAGGACCGTGGCATACCAGCGGTGACACGCGGACAGGCACGGCGGAGCCATAACTGCATAAACGTTTAGTCGGCCATTGACACCTGGTTACGCAATCGCCATGGTAACGAGGACGCCGCAAAAGAATGTATGGCATAGTTTTTTATTTGTTTTAATTTTTCTGTCACCTCTTACAATAATAATTTCATTTGTCAAAAATTGTCTGACGATTATCTCAAATTTTGCAATTTACGTCACTTTCGGTTATCTTAGAAATCGAAACCAACATTGGTGTCTGCCATCAATACCCTCGCGCTACGTTGGAGGTATTCGGTGTTTTATTGAGGCACTTGGCCGATGGAGCCCTGCAGATTTGAACGCCTCGCAAAAACACCATCATACTACAAAAAAAAAAGGAAAAAATTATTGTCCGCTAATTATTTGCAGTGACTGACAAGAAAATTCGCGCCGCTGGATATTGAGCAAAGCCTGTCAGTACTGTAGCCGGTCCTTCAACTTTTTCACTGGCTACACAGATGAAGACTGGGGCTGCCGCACAAGTAATATCGTCTGCTTTACTCGCTTTACTTGTCCCCAGCTTGACCCTGTCAGTCGCAAAGAGGTTGCTCATCTGACATGAAGTGCAGTCCACAAAAACTTGTTAGACCGGCATACCTGTCGTAGCCACTCACGACGCCGGCGGACCGTCAAGCGTCGCCTTGTCCGAAAAAAAAAAAAAAAAAAAAAAAAAAATTACATGAATTTTAGCGGATTTTGGTGAGATTTCCGAACCGGGAGTAGCTTTGCATCGTGGTCTCGTGCAAGAACCCCATTTCTCTCAGACCCGGTGAAAAAGTCTTATTTGTAAACCCAACCGAAAATTCGCCTTTTTTTTTTTTTTTTTTTACATTAGCTCAAAAAATGAGAATATGCCACAAAAAGCAGCTCAATCAATGCCAAAGTATGTAGGACTTGTGCAAGGTTCAAGATAAGTACTCGCAGCAGAGAATCGAAGAGGTACTGCCATTGTGTACAACAAAATATAAAGAGAACTATTCAGATTCAGAGTCGACATCAAAGCACCTGGGGGGCTATTTTCGACAAATGTTTTGTTTCTCCTAAAAAGAAACGGAAGTGACGATATCGCGTCTGATTGGCGAGAGACTCAATTGTCTAAGAGGGAACTTTCGTCATTTGAGCCTCTAACCAATCAGACGCAATATTGTAACTCCCGTCACTTCAGTTTATTTTAGGAGAAACAAAACATTTGTCGAACTCCCCTGATGTTTTCATGTCGACTCTGCCGTCAAATCCTGTTTTCTTTGGAAATCTGCAGGTCGCACAGTCGCTTTATTGGCAGAGTGTGAAAACTACAGGGGTCGCTTCTCTAGCTATCGTCGTCATCGTTTGCAACGTCACGGGTAGGACAGATTGGGACAGACCGCGCAGATCGATCTTAGATCGATCTCGGCTCGTCAGCTCGCTTCACGCACTGTTTGGCCAATGCACAGCAAAGCCTGTTTCATGAGTCGTCTTAATTTGGCAAAGTGATATTTGTAGTAGGACATTTTACCAAAGTTTGAAATCACGTGGCATGCACTGTAGTGCCAACAAGCACTTTTGGCGCTGAGGTGTCGAAGCGCTCAGGTGGTAGTGTGCTATACTGGGTGACCCAAGAAGCGGCCATGCTCTTTAAATCGACCGCAAAATTTGGTTTCTTTGTGATTTTGTGCAGTGTTGCCCACAGATGGTGCTTTTTTTTGTAAAATTTGCGAAGAGCAAACTTACCCGAGGAAAAAGTAAAGAAAGAAAAAGGCTTAGCTCCTATGGAAAAGCAGCGGAGCCACCGGTCTTCAAACACGGCGCAGCTTCGCACGGGAGACAAGAGATGGCGCAAGCGGTCGTGATGCCAATTGCCGCCAACGAACGAGCATACGGCACTGAGAGCCGGTGTCTTTAGCAGACGATCGTTCCGACTCAAAAGCGGTGCGCGTTCCGCAGGCGGCGACAGCCGCAGGAACAAAAACAGGCGCGGTAACAACAAGGAACTGCTAAGCATACAACATCAGTACCCCAAGAAAACCAGTCAAAATATTCCGACAAACCAATTTTTTAATCGATTATCTGTCCATATTAGTAAGGATGATAAAATAATGGATTGGCAACTGGTATCAGAAAAGCACACGCTGATGAGTCGAAAAGATTGTCTGCTAAAGACGCCGGCTCTCGGCGCCGTACGCTCGTTCGTTGGTGGCAGTTGGCATCGCGACCGCTTGCGCCATCTCATCTCTCGTGCGAAGTGGCGCCATATTGTTTGTGAAGACCGGTGGCTTCGCTGCGTTTCCATAGGAGCTAAGCCTTTTTCTTTCTTTACTTTTTCCTCGGGTAAATTTGCTCTTTGCAAATTTTACAAAAAATAAAAAAAGCACCATCTGTGGGCAAAGCTGCACAAAGTCGTAGCGCGATAGGTTAGGAAACCGAATTTTGCGGTCGATTTAAAGAGCCTGGTCGCTCCTTGGGTCACTTAGTAGTTCTCTACACCAGTACAAAAAGCTGGATAATGAAAATAGACTATCCAGCACTTTATCACACTAGAACATCTACCACGGCGAATAGGGTGTATTTTTTGTTACGATTTGGGCTGAATAAAACTGAGAAAGGAATATCCTATCAAATTAAAAATAAGAAAGCTAAATTCGAGAACCTCGCACGTGTGTAGTAAACACTTCAGTGAAAGCAACCCAGTGTATCCGCTTGGTTCCAACATGTTCTGCGAGTACTGGTCTCTTATCAGTTCAGAGTTGAACTAATAAGAGCGTTAAATGAAAGAGAGAACAAAAGACGAGGGTAATATCTAGCTGCTGCAGGTTAAACACAGTGGACTTACCCGAGACTGGTGCTTTCTAAGTGACGACACAAACACAGAAAAATCTTAAACTCGGCTGAAGAAAGCAAGTGTTCCAGAAAATGCAAAGGAATCGTACCAAGCATTCCCTTTCCACGTTATTGAATGCGACAGAGCTTTTGCATTGGTCATAGACATTGGCCGTGCCGACAATCTTAAGAGGACATGGTAGCTTTTGTAACTTCGGTGGCACGGCGCATAGGTTCGAGTATTTCCACTCTCTGGACCAACTGGTTCAAAGTGTTGGTTGATGGTGTATAATATCCACGGTAAAGGCAACGCTCCTGGCAAGTGGACCACCTACATGGCAGACCCAAGCTACAGACTGCAAGGGGACCCGCAATGTTTGCACTGGAAGGTGTGCTACGCGTGTGAACACCAAGTTAGCCCTGTTGCTACTAAACAAACTGCGTCTGAAGTATTGGCACCCCATTCCTCTATTATTTTGTGGCTGCAGCCGTCTTGTTGGCCAGTCCAGAGTGGGCGCAACTGCTGCTAGTTACGATTAAAAAATGCAACCTCCCGAGCTTCGAGCGTGGTTTTGGGAAGCTTGGGCGATACCTACCTGCTGTGTTGCAGACAGCTCTGAAGGATGAAACAGCGTTTCAGCTTCAGCAAGTTTGATAGTCAAGATGGCCGAGGTATTGTCACTCTAAAACGGAGCTTATTGAGTAGCTATAACATGCCCCATGAAGCTCTGAAGCTTTACCCATAGCAAAACAGAACAAATAGCACTCGCAAACTGACAAAATATATGCAGACACACTCGTAATTGAAAGCAATCTCAAGTGGTGCAGTTTATCACAAAACTGCACCGCTTGGAACGGCTTTGAAGGGGACAGCATAGAGTAGACACGCACCACAATACACTAATTGAAATGTGCAAGACAGGGTTTATATGTAGTAGTCCTTTATTCACTCCACTCTATCAATGTGCCCGCGCTCTGCAAGGAGCGCATCGTCTCCATGGTCACAGTCGGGGAAGGCACAATGTGTCGTCTGGGATAGCACAGTTATGTACACGTCTTGTATCTAAAAATAAGTTACAGCTAAAAAAAAAAAGCCTGCAGGCCTTGGACTGAAGCACAAGGCGTCCGTCGTCACACAATCAACTTAGCCTTTGGAATGAAAAAAAAAAAAAAAAAAATGTTTCCTGGTTTGTTTGCTTGAGCATACCACCGTCAGGTGATGGGCTCCAGCAATAAAGAGCTTTCTCCACAAATACGTATACTGACTAAAGTTATAGAAACGAGGTTTTTAAGAAAGATGCACAATTTAGGGCAACAGAATATTTAAAAAATTACGGTTCCCTCGATCAAACTGAACTGGTTCCCTAAAATTTACAACAAACTATGTACGCCACCAAGAACTGACTCAGTATCATGTTGTTGCGGTACAATGCGTTGCAGCTTCCTCATTGATGTCTTGCTACTACGTAAAGTAAAATATCTCGTCCAATGCTCATCTCTCCACTGGCCATAATTGTTTTCTCCATCTACAGTAGGATACGTCAATATTTCTTTGATCAAAAACTATTTCCCCAGGTAAGGTTCCTCGAGCGTCCGTCCTTTCTTTGAGCACAACCCGGCATTCATTACCCTAAATCACTTATTTTCACTGACGTCGTGCAGCAAATCTGTACCTGCCACGGCATCTCGTATTCACCGCAATAATCACCGTCGCAATCGTAATAAAACTAAAAGAAAGGAGACATTAGTTGCCCGGTCAATGTGTCACACGGTGCAGAAAATTGTTTGGTCATTGACCGAAACCACACGGTCGGTTTCTGGAATGGTCTTGTCATCAAATGGTCAGGATGCGACCCAGGGATGGGAGCACACGGGCTTGCAGAACCTGCATCGAAGAAATGAAGTGATGTCACTCGCTGCGCAATTCAAGCCGAAAGGGTCCATGCAACGATACTAGGTAGGAGTGTTTCTCACTTTACATGAGCTCACCAGAACTAGCGGTACCCAAGTACGCCCAGACGCTGTGCCACAGACCAAGAAGCTTCTTTGTCGTCGCATAATTTGAGGAATACAAGCTAATGTTTTCTTTCAGTCTCTCCTTTGCAAAACTTGGTTACGAAGTTATTGGGTTGGCATTGTTAACAATGCAATCTCCAGGATTTCGCCGTCAAGCTGTACCATCCCCACGGAGACGACACTTAATTAAATGCGGCTCGTACGGTGACATCAGCACTGCGCGAGTGCTCGATCCGGGTTCTTGACGATCGGTGCTTCGACATGCATTCGGGTAAGGGCTCGTGCCTAATCGCCGTGACAACGGGAACAGCCAAATATTGACGACGTGTGACACTATCAGTGTGTGCTGAGTGCTTTGCTAACCCCAGCGCATTGCTATAACAGACACTGGAGACATACAGTCAGCTCCAGACCACGTCGTCGCTTTTTTTGACGGCAAGGAGAGGGGGGTGAATGCTGCTCGCATTTCTAGATTCTTTTCCACAATTTTTATTGCGTGAAGAAAAAAAAACTAATGCATGCTTCATAGGTTATGAATGTCGAGGCATAATTTTAAGTGGTATTTGCTTGAAGTAAATGATATTGTTGCATCACATTTTAGTTACGAGGGATGCTCAAGGTTGACCGGGACTCTTGTTCATAAGCAACTGCCGAATAAGTGTAGAATGATCATATTTGCGAGGGATGTTGACGTAACCTTCCTTAAATATCCTGCACCCAGAATGACTTATATCCGAAACATGCGCAGTGGTTCCGGCTGCTGTAGCGAGCACCGCGTCAGTAGCCGTGAAGCAGCGGCAATATAATCCAATTTCTGGCGAATGAGAAAGTCAAACCAGTTGAAATTTTGAAACGATAGCAAGCACGGTATGGGAAACGAGCGATATCACCAACAAGTGCATACGAATGGTGTCAAAAGTCTGGCAAACAACGACAGCCGGTGACAGACCGCACGGACAAACTCATCCGACCACAGTCCGTTCCTTCTACGCCGAGAGACTCGAGGCAATGCCAAAACTATGGCAGCAGTGCGTGGACATGCAAGGGGAATATTGTGAAAGCACTACATAGTTTCGCACTAGTCGGCTTTTCCATTTCCACGGTAGGAATGAAAGTCCCGGTTGACCTTGAACGACCCTTGCAGGTTTATTTAAACCTGGACTGCGCAACTGGCTCCCAGTCACTTCCTGTAACGTCCTAGCTGGTGTAAAAGATTGAGCACCGTTAAAAATCAAGCATTAGGGTCTTGCTATCTAGAAGATGTTGAGTGAGCATGCTCGTACATATGACGGGAGTGTGAAAGAAGGGAAAAAATTGACCGCATCTCCACGTGGTGAATGATGTTGATTAAGGCGAAGCTCTGGTGGTGCTTGTTTGCGTAGATGCTGAGTCGCAGCATGCCGAGCCTTTCGTTCGTTTTCATCCATGTCAGAAAGAGAATGTGTGGTATGGAACGTGGTTATATATGCATTTGAGCATTTGACCGCAGCGCCCTCTCGTCTATAAACGTTGAGCCAATGTATGCAAAGTTTAACGCGATTATATACGCATTTGACCCCAGCACCCTCTCCAGTATAGACATTGAGCGGCTACATGCAACGCTTCATTCATGACAGAAACCCCAGCTCTTCAGTTACTACCACATCTCAGAGCCCCCTACACGTCCCGCAGTCGTGGCCGAGTGGTTAAGGCGATGGACTAGAAATCCATTGGGGCCTCCCTGCACAGGTTCGAATCCTGTCAACTGCGCAAATATTTTTGTTTTGCTCTACACGAGCACGTGAGCTCACGAGCACGAGCACCAGCAAGATCGATGTGAGCACGGACACCGGACGGACAAAACTAGACCCTAAGGAGCTTCGCCCTTAAAAAAGAGAAAGAGTGCTGGCTTTGGAGGAAATGGGGGGACGCGAAACAGCAGGGTCAAAGCTGGGGTGAGCGACCGCGAGAGACGCGGACTTTGTGTTTCACGTCCGGCGGAGCGCAGGCTTTGGAGAGGGCTTTCTTTAGGGGTTGCTATGCAGGGCGACGTTCATGCCGTCGAGGCACCAAATGCGCTCATAGTTCCTCTGTGCAACGTCACTGTGAAGGAACACGCAATACATCCTATGTCCTGTTGCCACAATAACCTGAGAAAGGAGCAAATTTGATATTTTCTATCATTACAATTGGATACTGCCTTTGTGATGTCTGCAAGACATTGTAGGCAGACATGTCGCAATTATCCCAAGGTTCGGGCTCAAAAGGTTTAGAAACTTTTGGAGCTTGTCGAGGTAAGAGCTTGGAAAGTTTGCATTGTTCGAACACCACCAAGGTTCAAATTTGCAAAATTTAAAGCTTTAAAGGTTTTTGAAAGTCTGGGTTCGATGGTTTGAGTCTAAAAAATATGAAGATTTCGAGCACCTTTGAAGTCTAAGTTTACAAAGTTTGAAGCTTTTGGATTATTGCAAAAATCTGAGTTCCACGTTTAAAAAAATTTTGAAATATTGCATACAGAGTGTTTTCTTTAGTCGGTCCACAACGTTCTAGTTTTACGAGTTGCTCCTCCGCAAGACTGCAGTAATTTCTTTGACGCCTCTTCTCATTATGCCGTGTGGCACATGCGCAAAAAATAATAATAATAATAATAATTTTCTAAAAAGAAGAAAAATTGTGTTTGGCTCTCCCTAGCCCTGGTGCCAAGTTGGTGGTCATGGTGGCTACTAGAAAATTAGAAGAATGGGTTAATTAGTTAGCCAGTTAACTAAAAGGTTTGATTTAGCCTATTAGATTTTTATTTTTGGAGGCATAGAATTGACGTTGAAACGCAGTACAGCATAGCCGTACCATAAAGCTTTATTTAAAACGTCTGTAAGCGGGTGCTATGGTGTGATAAATGTCATTCTTGTGCAAATTTTCAAACAGTGTACCAAGAGGGCCGACAGCTCAAATTAATGTCGAACCCAGCCGGCTTGGTATCCCTTCGAAGCTGCAACAAGAATAAAATTTCTCGCCCCAAAGAGCCCACTACACTTCTCAATAAAAATTACCCATCTTGACTAGATCATAATAAGTAGAGCCTCCAACTACATTATGCCCCCCAAAATAAAAAAAAAGTAAATTAGAAACTTTTATCTTAAGTAGCTAACCAATTACCCCTTCCACCTCTTTTATAGTGACCTTTATGGCCACCAACTTAGTCCCGGGCTAAGAAAACCCATAGGCAAGTTGCTTATTTTAATTTTGAACCCACTAAAAAAAGAAAGCGTTACGAAACGTCGGTGTCGCACAACATCATGGTGCAATGTAATGCCACGACGTCAAGTGACCTCGCGCGGTTCCACTAAAATTAGCAGAGAAATCTTCCGTTCAAGTCACACAAAACACACCCCAGGAACCACCGCAAAGCCACGCCAACAGAGGCAGCCACCGAAACGAACGAGAGCCGCCACCCACCTTGGTGCGCACCAGCTCGCCGTCCACGGTCACCGTGCTGTTGGCGAACGCCTCGAGCCTGAATGCCCGCACGGGGATCAGCCGAACGTAGGGCAGGTCCACGTGGTGGCCCTCCTCCTGTGCCTTGAAGTAGGTGAGCAGCTGGAGCCTCGTCGCATCCCCGCGGATCATCAGGAGCCAGGCCACGCCGTCGTCCAGCCGGGCCTCAGGCGCAAAGAACAGGTTGGTCCCCAGGTGGCTCTGCAGGCTCGAGTAGATGATGATGAAGCGCCCCTCTTCCACCGTCCAGTCGTCCGGCACCGGATCGTCCAGCGACGGGAACCCGTCCGGCGGCGCCAGCGGCGTCTCCGCAACCGTCGGCTCCGGAGCGCGGGTCATCGACGAGTCCGCGACCACCTCAAGTTCCGCGGGGAGGACGTTGTCGGTGTCCGCGAGTTCTTCCGGCGATTGGCTGAGGTTCGCGTACCCTTCCGGCGCGCTCTGGGAACGATGCAGGCCACCGTTGTTCGCGGAGACCGAAGCAGGCCTCCTGTCGTTTGAGGAGCTCGAGTTGTTCGTCTGCGGAGCCGGGTTCTTGGGGGCGGCGGAAGCGGCAGAGGGTGGAACGCCGTTCTTGGGTGGTACCGTGGCAGGAAGGTAGGAGATGCGGCCCTGGTAGGTGCGTAGGTCTGCAAGGGGGGGTACGGGGTTAAAGCGCGGGTGCTGGAATGTGGTCCGAGGTCGCATAAGCGCGGTCCTGTAACTGAACTACAGGACTGTGGTCTCGTAGCTGGAGCTCAGAGATTGTGGTTTCATAAATGTGGTCTCATAACTAGAGCTATATGAGTCCGGTCCTATTAGCCCCGAGAGCGAACACAAGCGTCGCTGCGGTCGCCGCGCCCTGATTGGGTGAGGTGTACCGTGACGTCAGGGGGAGTACTCCGCTCCGCGACCTCGCATCGGCTCGCTTCCCAGCACCGGTTTCCTGGTTTGGCGTTGTGTGCCGCAACCTCTTCGAAGCGCTGGACTTCGTTTACCCGGTGTAAAGGACGTTGAGTTAGGCTGATATTGACGTGTTTCCGTACATTTTATAAGCCTGCTTGTCTTTTTTACCTTGAAAATTGGGTTACAAATCCCGAAAGCTATCGGCGAAGGCAATTCCGCCGATGAACCTCACCGCCCGTCCACACGACACAAGGCAATTTAGCGAAGGATCGGTGGAGCGTTGGCGCAAGTGTTTCGGACGCTGGAATTCTCTTCCTTGCATGTTCATGATTTAGGAGAATATTACATCCCGCTTTGCAGGCATTTGAAATTGCATTCATATCAAGGGCCTTTGGGTGGTCGGCAAAAATTAGCTCGGAACTCCGACTTTGCGCTGCCGCTCTGCATACGCTGGTTCGCAGATGTTTTAAAGGCCCTGTGTCTGATCATCTTTGAAGTGCTCATAGAACAGGGTTGCTTTACATAAATGTAGCTTCTTCGTAAATTAATTACATAGTTTATACACGTACGCAGGCATATTTCATAGAAGATGTACAATTATTGGAATTTAGTTTGTATGGTAGCAGCAAAAACGGCCGAATTACCCGCAGTGGCCTGTATGATATGTATTGGACTGCCCAAAATATGCACAGCCAATGTGCCGTAATTTGGAATGTTTATACTTTTTCCTGACACTTTTATTCCAGCTTTGGTGATTCGGAAAATACACCGTTTAGTCTGAATTGTCATTTCCAATTAAAAGAGACACTGCTGCAGGTCTCCAAAAGCTTCCTCAGCCTCCAAACTCCCTACAGCTGTACTCTCTGACAACAGATGAAAACAGGAGTAAAAGCAAGCATTCGAACGCCTGTCCAGTGGTAGTTGCAGCATTAGTAGCACAAAATGTGGAACCCGTGAAGGGCGACATTCTGCGCGAGAAAAGGTTCTGGTATTTTAGCTTCAGGAAAATTCGATTTAAGTAAAATCTCAATTTTAGGGCTTAACGAACTAATAACGAGCTAGACACCTTCACTTACGTTTGTTATACATTACTTGAGGGTTGATATAAACAAGTCCACAGATATCACCCGTGTAGTCCATTGAAATACTATCCGAATCCAGCAAAGGTCAAATGCGAGCAATGTATGCAATAAATGTTCCTTGTTTTCTTACTTTGCCCCTGCACTTGGGCTGTCTTACTTGTGATTCTCTCCCCATGGCCCAGACCGTATTTAGCATGTTACCCGAGCGGCATGCAGCTTTTCTGCTTCGGCGAACTTGTTTAAAAACGGAGATACAAAACAAAAAATAGTATACATAACCTACCAATCCATTCAGACCATCAGCAGCACTTTTTGAGCGAGATGTAAATCTATAGTGATGCTCCTGCAATTGTGGCCATATTTCTTTATTTTCATATACCAGCTCCGATTCATGCGTTGCCTGCCCTGTCAACCATGCTTAAAATGTTGGTTGAAGTTTCGCCTGAAGCTACAGACCATACCTCAATAAAGGCACATAAAAAAAATATTAAACTACCTACGAAAAACACGCCAAAAAAAATTAAATAGGACCGAGCGCGCCGACAGCTAGCGTCGTCGCAGCCTCCACAGGGTGAGCGGGGCGAGCCGGGGAAAAATTCTCTCCTCGCCGTGACGTCACCCCGGTTCGCCGTAAGGGGGCGCCACGCAAACTTCTCGGGGCTAATAACTGGAACTAAAACACTGTGGTCTTATAACACGAGCTAGAGGGCTGAGGTCTCATAACTGCAGCTACAAGGCTGTGGTCTCGTAAACGAGGCCACAAGACTTGTTTCAGAACTGGCTCTGTCGTATCTGGAGCCATCGTATGGGACTGTGGTTTTATGAACAAAGCTACGAGACAATGGTTCGGTAGCTCAACTTATTCGGATCGCCTATCACTGAAGTGCACCGACAGAACGAGAGCCATAGCTCACCCCAGACTTCAGAACAAGAGTGTTTACTTTGAAGTGCTCAGATTTAAGAAGTTTCTGAATGAAGTCTATGACCAAACCTCCCAAAACAAGCTGTAATTACAGTTGAGCCACCATAGAGTTAACATACACTCATTCTGCTCTATTAAAGAACCACCAGAAAAGAATGAACCAAAAAGAAAGCGTCACAACCGAAAGGCTCAATTAGTAGAATGAATAAAGCACTGCCCAGGCACCGACTGAAATAAAAGACAACGCAACTGTAAGATGTCTCTTGCAGGCTCACAACACCGGAAAGTGTTTGCCCGCGTTGTAATTTGTGACTGACAGCACATAAGAAATGGTACATTGAGAAAACGGAAGACGCGGCGATATTTCTTTAAAGAGTCAGCAAACAAAGGTCAATTCACACGCAGTACCATCTGACAATGTTGCGAGACCACAACGACCGTGAGCCACCAGGGCACACATGCTTTATACGAAGCATGGCAACCAAGTCGAGTAGCACTAATAAGCAGCGTACAAAGCACGTAACTGCTGGTGACTTGCAGTTGTGTCGCAGTATAACGTAGCCAAACATTCCATTCCACATTCCATTATTCAATTATCGTCCTGGCACTACCGTATTGCTGCCCAGTGCAGACCGAGCACAATGGGTGATAGTTACGATTAGTAAATGTGCCTTCCCAAGCTTCACATATGGTATCGGGAAGCTCAAGCGACATCTTGTTCGGCCTTGGGCCGTTTTAGTATTTCCGAAGGAAGAAAAAGTGCTTCTTTGGATGTCGGACGAAGCGGTCGGATAACTGCCAATAGTCATTTTAGGAAGCAGGATAGTTGAAGCGTAGCTAATCTGAGGCGAAGGTTATTCGACGACTCTAGTCGAACGGGACCAAAAGCTACAGCGCTAATGCATGGTCCTTAAAGAGCATCTCCAACCGATGTGTCTAGCGTCTCGTCCCGTCTATGCGTCGAAGGCGGTATTGAAGTGGCAACAAATGACGCCCCAAAAGCAGGAGTGTCGTGCCGCCGGATGTCACGATCCCGGCGATTAATTGTAGAAGTACCGCCGAAAAGTATGAGCAAACGCAAGTGTCGCCATCGTCATGACGTCCCAACTCCGAGCTGCCGGAGCTTCCGCGAACCGTCGAGCTGGAAGAGCGACGTGGAGCAAGAAGGGCGCTTGCCAGATCTGCCTCTGCCGCTATGCCACCGCCATGATCGCGGCAAGTAACGGCACGACACTGCTACGATGCCACTGGAAGGTAATCGGGGGACCGCAGATGGGGACACAGTGAGCACACCGGTAGGGAATGCTTTGCAGGCGCGGTACCACAGCGAATACGCTAATGAACCTCGACCGAGTATGACTTGCACATTCAGAAAACCGAGCGGAATGCGACTCGAGACGGTACTTACTGAAGACCCTCCAGAATGCCCAGAGGGTAAATCGTATCTCCCCGATTGCACGGAGCCGCTCTGACTCGATGTCGATGTCGGCCATGATGCCCCAGCCCACCGTGAGGAAGGAGTACAGTGCCCCCTTGGGTGTCTCCACCAGCATGAGGTCCAGGGGAGAGATGCGGCCCTTGGCCACGCCCAGTGTTGCCGCCACAATCGGGTCGCTGACATATGGCTCGCTGCACGCACATCCACACGAATCAGTGAGTGAATGGATGGATGCAGAGACCTTTATAGTACTTGGAGAACTTGGCATTCTTTAGAACATGCCAACAGTCCACCAACCGCAGCTGAAAATCGAGGAACAAGGAGATGGCTTCTTACCTCTGCCTTATTAAGGCATTGAATTTCAGACACACTTTGAATAACTTGGTGACCCACCATAGTAAAAGCATCCCTTGTTAATGTAAGCACCTTTGGCACTCTATGTACAATCAACTGCTTATACTTACTATATCTAATACAATCTCTTAAAATTATATTATCTTAAATTCATTCCTCTTTTGTCAAAAGTGAATTTTCTATACTTTGAATGTTAGGTCTCAATAATGAACACGGCCAAAATTCAGCACCACAACAGATGTCTAAGCAAGGGCGCTGCGAACCTGTGCGCTCGATTGCCAGAATTGTTTTCGTTTGAGAAAACATGACTTTGTTTAAAACCAAAGAAAAAAAAAAGCTTATTAGAGTTGTTTTTTGAAATCGATGAAGGATGACCGGTGCATGAATGCAGTGATTAATTGCAGGCATAACAAACTGTCAGAGTACAAGAAATTGTGTTCGTAAAATAACTAACCACGAATTCGGACAAGCGCACACAGAATGGGGTGGCCAAAAGCTAAAACCTCCATACTGTGGCATCGCAAAGTCTGGCTGCTGTAGCGGGTGACAGGCTCCACTGCCCCATCGGCCAAATTCTCTTAGCATAAAGGGTTCTGGACGGATGAATAGATGGATGAATGGGGAGGGGCAACAAAGCTGGACGTTAGCAGGCGCCATCTACAGCCACCCACAGCCTACGTTGAAGCTTCTTGCTTTGCAATTCATTCCTTGGCATTCTAACTGGCTAATGCTGCAGTCTCATTGGTTGTAGAACGATAAAGATTCCTGGGGTTAGCCACACCTTATGTTTTTTACAATGTCAGCAACCAGAGATGATGAATGTTTATGGTGTCGCAAAACGTATAGACCCTTTATACTTGCTGTTAGGTGTGATATTGTATGTTTGTTTCAACTCAAGCTCTATCAATGGCTTACTGAACAAAAAAGTTAAAGTGCAAGAAAGCAGGTGAGTTATCATGCTAGAAAAATACCAGGGACAAAAAACGAAAAAGAGAACACAGAACTCTCTAAAGAAAAGCTGTGTTTGCAGTTTTTTTTTTTTTAAGTTCTTTTTTGTTTTCTTAGTAAGATATATGGCTTGGCCAGTTTTTGCGTTTTCCTTTTTGTAGTTGATAGGATTAATTAACTAATTAAAAAGTTAATTACTAAACTAATTTATAATTTACTTAATTTAGAACATATTTTAGGGTCCCTGACATCTCTCACGACTGGCGGTTCATTCCCGAAAAGAGTTTCCTTTCTTTTTATTATCAATATCGTATTGGTAAGAAGTTTAGAAAGTCTTCGCTGAAGCATCCAGTATACAAGAGGTAAAGCATACCAACGAGTTCTCCTTCTGTCTGGCCCAGTAGAGTTAGTGCCTGGTCCAGTGGACTCTACATGGTCTCTACGTAGGGCCTTTACAGAGTGGAGGCTTGAGACTGTGGGACACCTTCTACACTCACTTTGCAGTGTGGCTGATGCTGCGAGCCAGGCCATTGCCCGAGCCCCCCGGAATGATGCCGATTGGAATCTTGACAGCCTGCTCCCAGTCCGGACGCTCCATCAGTCCGTTGTAGACCTGCGCCGAGATGCAGACGGCGTTAGGCATCGCTCGACTAAAGATTGGGAATTATAGTCGCTGATAACTTTGGGATCAACTGAAAGGATATGAACTAAATGAAAATTTGATTAAGTTTCTAGAACGGGTTTATACGGAGAATAGGGTGGTTATAACATAGGAAGCTGAAACTACAAGATCAGCAGCAATAAAAAGAGATCTTAGACAGGGTTGCCCATTGTCTCCCCTGCTCTTTATGATATACCTCAGTGAGATGGAAAAAAGGTTAGAACAGTGCAACCTAGGTTTTGACCTGACTTACATGGAGGAAGGACATAAAGCAAATCAAGTATTGCCAGGGTTAATGTATGCAGACGACATTGTATACGTAGGAGAGAGTCGACAGACAATGCTGGCACTGATTAGAATTTGTGGCGGGGAAGAAGACACCTTAGGCCTAAACTTCAGTAGGGACAAGTCTGAAAGACTAGTTCATAACGACGCAAAGGGGGAACCTCTGGAGATGCGAGACGCTGTGACAGAACACTGAGAAAAGTACAGATATTTGGGAGTGTGGTTAAATGAGGGAAAAAATTATCTAAAAAAGCATGAAGATATTGTAATAAAAAAGGGGAAACGGGATTCAGCTATTAGGAAACACAAGGCACTTTGGAACTATAATAGATATGAAGTCATTAGGGGTGTATGAAAGGGAGTCGTGGTGCCAAGACTCTCATTTCGGAATGTGGTATTGTGTATGAGGTCAGAAATTTAGGTAGCTTTAGAGATACAGCAACGGATTGTGGGTAGGTTGGCATTGGGGGCACATGGGAATACACCAAATGAGGGAGTACAGGGGGATATGGGTTGGGCATCTTTTGAAAGTAGAGAAGCGATCAGTAAAGTAAAATTTGAACAAAGACTAGCTGAAATTGAGGATATGCGGTGGGCAGAGAAAGTGTACAAGTATCTATATATGAAAGTCTAAACACTAAGTGGGCAAACCGAACCCGCAAGATGGGGCAGATCAGAGTATATCAGTAGAAAAGGGAGTAAAGGAAACAGAGGAAATTGTGGGAAGAAAGAATGCAGGGGAAATCAGCTCTAACAATATACAGGGCACAAAAGCAAGAAATAAAGAAGGAACAGTTGTATGATAATTCATTGGGGAGCTCATTGCTGTTTGAAGCTAGAACAGGGGTGCTAAGAACGAAAACATACCTATAGGGCTGAATTCCAGGAAATAGACACTCTATGCGACGTATGCAACTGCAAAAGGGAAACTATAAAGCATGTAATTTTAAAAAGCATGGGCCTTCATCCCATTCTCTTGGGGAGGATGGCTATGGATTTGGAGGGGGCACAGGGATTTGCAGAGAGGGATTTGTAGACATGGATGGACGAATGGATAGGGACAAAATTGGCAGTATACTAAGAGAAGATTGAAATATTGGTGGAAAAGATCTAGGGAGGGGTGAAAATACAAATAAAAATAAGCCCTGGGAACATTTTAAAGGGGGTAGGGTTGCGGTGAACAAAATTTATACAAATTTAGAAAAGAAGGGATGACGAAATGTTAGGCTAGGTAATGCAAGCCACCTAGCCCATTACAAAGGGTATAGCCATTACCATCAGAGCCGTATATGTAGAGAGTTTGGCCATTCGTTGGGAAGTGTAGGAGACAAATGAGGAGGCGCCATTGGCCGAAAGCGGGTTGGGCGTGTTCCAGGGCGTCTTCAGAAATTCGAATGTGACCAACCAGAAGCCGGAAATAATACCCTGGCAATGTTCGCGAGAAACAAACCTGATAACTGCATCAGAGTAACTCTCGATGGCTGAAAATATGGGACACGTGATGTTTCAATCACGCTCATCCAAAATGATGGTGGAAGAGTGCAACTAGCGGAACGATCGACATAATCCATACGCCAAACGCTGAGGGCCGCGAATCTGCCGTCCGAGCGGTCACACTCTGTCTGCACAAAACGGAGTTGAGCGGCGCATTCGTTTCTTACATCTTTCTGCATGACCATGATCAAAACAACACGTAAACCCTATTTTCAACCACGAAGAGTTACTAATCTTCTCTCTTACGCACTTATTAAAACCATATACGAACATAGACCTTTGATCAGAACTGTTTCTCGCTACCACCGCTAGGGGATTCTTTTCGGCTTCTGGTTGGTCAAGAGGGCATGCCAAGCCCTCTTTACGAGTGTGCCGCACGCCCTGGCTCTGCCCGCGCCTCCCATTGACCAAACTCTCTACATATACGGCTCTGATCACCATGTATCCATCCATCCATCTGAGAACAACAGGGAGCAACTTTCCCCACCTCAAGAGTGAGCTTCCAACATTCGACAACACTTCAAAGTCTCAAGCAGCTCGAGCACGCGCTGGAGGTCGGGTGTTAGAAAGACTCGCCCTGCCGTTTTGATTCAGTCAGAGGCTATGGGAGACATCTTCAGAGTACAACATTGAGACTGACCCGAGACTGCTGGAGAAGGAAACAGAGTAGACACATGGGTTACAGAGAAACACCGGTGCCATCAAAATTAGACTAACATGGAATTTTGCCCGCCAACTACTTGCTGTCCCTAACCAACTGAAAGAAAGAGTGAGGGATTTTCATATGTTTTTCTCCATTCGGTAGAATTGACGCTGGTTGACCAGATGCAATCAACCTTTGTGATCAGCATTGCTCACATTATGAGTGCTTCTGTAGCTTTTAGTGCAAGTTTGTGCTGAGCTACCCACAAGTACACACACAACTTTAAGTACCAAGTAGGGTGCATTAAACTTGACACTGATCCAACAGTCTTGAATTGCTTAACCGAGTTTACGCACCTCAAAGAGAAGTCCATCGCCCGAGATCACCAGGATTCCACTCCACTGCTTCAGATTCAGGCCCTTGATGAACTCCTTCGCATGGTTTTGCCGCTCTGTGCACCAAACATATTACAATAACTGCTATAGGACAGAATTGCAATTATCACAATAAGATGGGCAACAATAACACCTAATAGAACTACAGAGGTGCATTTTGTCTGTGAAGAGATGCTCTCTACTTTTATTTAAAATAATTCCAATAAAACTGTCATCCAAGAAAACAATTTACTGCTAAACCAATGAAGAGCATGAGACATGCCCCATCAAAGGACATACAATCAAAGTTCTGGGGATCGTTCAACATAAATCTGTTTTGCAGTTCCTACACTCCAATAAGACTTTGATAAACTGTGGGCACCTCAGCCGGCATAAGGAGCTCAAAATTTGCAGCCAGTCACTCTGTGTCAAAGTCCAGGGAGGCATTAAAAGCTTCCCTTATCTTACCCTACAGTTCCCGGCCATTGCCACCTGTGCTCAAAGTGACCGTGATTGCACTGAACACTGTTCATAGCTGAGTTCTCGCTTCAGTGAATAGCCATATCATACATGCATAGACACAATTGTTGATAATTTTTAACAGAAATTAAAGTGTGCAAGTCTTTGTCGGGCTTGGGGTACTGAGATCTGGTTCCCGTACTGGTTTTCACGTAAGGACAACAGTGTCTTGAGCACTATTACTTTAGGGCTGTCTCTACAGAGTCAAACGAGGGGCATCGGCAGATTTATTAAAAAAAAGCCATGAAAACTACACTAATGCGATCTCTGCAGGTTAATTTACAGCCAGGAGGACATAATATAAGGGGACAATTGTCAAGATAGGTTGGTTAATTAACTAAATATTTTAATTAAACCTTTTTTAATTTTAATTAATAAACCACATGTTTATTCTCACTAAGTAAGGAACTGATTATTAAATTTTAGCCGATGATCCGACTTATCGTGACGAATAGCCCCCTATATGACGTCCCCCTGGTCGTATAACTCACCTGAACAAGCTACATTCAGTACAGCCTAAAAAAAAAAAACACCCTCTGTAGGGTTACGTGTGCAACAAACTGCTGACTTCAAAAAGGACCAGCCGTGAACCGAGACTTGTGTCACACCTTATAACAATTGTGGTACTCCAACACGACCTTTCAGCCCAATTTTGTGAACAATGGCAGAATTCAGTACACAGAGCGAGTGAGAAAACATTTATTTCCCCACGAGATTATGGCGAGCGGTTGCACAGCGGCAGGGCCATTTTAAGAGGTGGGGATTGGAAGGATTGGCCGAGGCCAATGCTATCTAATTGAGACAATACCGACTTCAACAATTTTATTCTGGAATTCGGTACATTTTCCCCGGGTCTTTAGGTTCACAGCAGGCACGTAGGCAGGATTTTGTTTTGCGGGGGGGGGGGGGGGGGGGGGGGGCTTGCCCATGACAAAATGCTGTATGAGGGAGAGGGGGAGAGGACGTTCCAGCAAAATGGAAGATTTCGGGGGGCGGGGGGGGGGGGGGGATGGGTCCCATGGGTTCCCCCTTGGCTACGTGCCTGGTTTCCCAACAGGTTAGAGATGATGCAAGCTACCAACCCAATTGAATGGAGAGGCTGCGGTGAGGTGCATTCTGCCGTCTATTCATCTCGCAAATCATCCTTGCGTGACAGATTTAAAAAAAAATTATAATGAAACAAAAGCATGCGGTCTATTCACCTCATGTGCCATCCCTGAATGACAGACCCAAAAAAAAATTAAAGAAAAAAATGCAGTAATAAAGAACGCTACCGTAATGAGACTGACATCTCCGCCTGTTGGCATTCGCTCGGGCGGGTGCCCAATGAAGCGCAGTGCCTGGATGCAGCGAACTAGCTACTGCCTATCCGTTAGTATGTGCTTATAAATATGGAGAGTAGATGCCCTGTGTCACACTAGTACCTGCGTCTTTCCTGCCAGATGATGCAATCGAGCATATTCCATTTTCTAACATTTAAAAAGTAAAGCAGAAAATAAGCAGCCAAACAAAAACAAGTAATCAGCTTTTTTCCATAAAATCATGCGTAACTACTAATGTTAATATAGAGGAGTAAGATACGATAAGACAAGTTGCAGTCGGTTTTTCTTGCTATACTTAGCAGGAAAATTACATGTTACTCTTTAGCCTCAGGGTTTTTTTCGGATCAGTTTTTCCACGAAACCCCAGCCCTAAACACGTTCTGTGGGAAAGTTTAGCATGCAAACCACATGCTTCAAAGGATGTAGCAACTTTATGAGTAACTTTTTCTATCCCCGGCAGTGTATTCGGAAAAAGCTTGTGGAGTGTAAATCAGCAGGCCAATTTCGGCAGCCTGATTGTTATGCTTTCGTGGACTTTACATGACTTTACATAGTTTGGTTTTCGGGGGGAGAGAGGGGAGCGGTAGAAGGGAAGAGAGGCAAGGCTTAGGTAAACATGTTGGAGTGATTCACATGCTAGCCCTTAGTCGGCCTCCACATTTTCTTATGCGCATAGGGTAAGCCGATTTGACAGCTGGCTAAAGGCTAGCATGTGAATCACTAAGGTGTATTTACCTAAAGTTAAATAGCCGTGCCCTCCCCCCCTACCTTGCCCCCGGCCCCTTGCCCCCCCCCCGAAAACCAGGTTATACGACATTCGTGAAAACAGACGTTGACTTTTTCTGCAAGCTGTTCCGAACACACCCCCGGCAACGCTGAGCCAACCACCCCCAACTCACCGGTGACGAGTAGGAGGTGCGAGATGTCGGCCTCGGCCAGGATGGGCCTCACCCGGTGCAGGAAGATCTCCAGGGAGCGCCCGGGTCCGCTCTTGGGGTTCACGATCACCAGGTAGTGCCTCTGCGCCGGCAGCTCCTGGGGGATCACTGCTGCGCCACCTACAGGAGATAGAAGACGGGGAGGAGGACACATCAGATGCACCGAGGGCAGACTTCCCGCCCAAACTGTCGGTCCCGTCTCACAAACAACTGGCGCCACCCGACGGAAAACGGGGTTAGGGGATTCCCAAAAGGAAACAATGCACGCTGGGGTTTTAGGATTCGCAGAAAGAAACAATGAATGCGTTAAGGCTGGATCACGCAACTGAGATTGCTTACGACCGAGTGCATTACAACCTCTTGCGACACCTTGCGACGAGAAGACACTCTGGCCCACCGTGGCGCCACCTACATTGTGGCCTCAGAACTGACAGGTGTCGCCGGTGGGTTCTCGCATCTTAAGATATCACGAGGGGTGGGTCTTGATGCACTCGGTCATGAGCAGTTGCATGTGTGTGAATGAGCCCCTAGCTGATGAAACTAAATGTCCTTGAGGAAACATATTTTAGCAAAAGGACCTATAAAATAAATGCGCGTTTTGAAGCTACGCAGGATGAGAAAGGTTAAAATGATTGAGAAGTGTTACGTCCCAGTCTTAGGAAATACGACAATATCGTATCCTCAGTGAATCTTTAAGATGAGCTGTTTTGCTTCGAATTAAACTTTTGGATCAGGACGTTTCCCTGCTTTTTTTTTTTTTTTTCATTTGAAAAAGGGGGGGGGGGGCATCAGCTTGTCTTTATTTTATGCAAATACTAAATATGGTGCCTAAGCACCTTCCAATTAAATAAATAGTCCCACATTGGCTAAAATAATATAGAATAAAAGAATTCAAACCGGGTCCAGAGGATTAATGCGAGAAATGCAACGTCGAAAATTCCAGAAGTCATGTGAGTATGCGTTCCAAAGTTTTTTTTCAAACAAACATATTTTTGGTGTTTTCGTTTCAGTGCTGATAAAAATTCTGTTCCACTGCCTTTTCAACACCAATTTTATTAATGATGTGTCTCAGATGGCTCATCATCTCTCCAATATTACGAGCTTTGTGCAGGTTACGTCAGTGTGAAAATGTAGGCACACATAGAAAATGCGAACACTGAGGTTGCGAATGCATGCAGTGAATTACGGACTATTTCAATTGAGCAGAGTTCTGATATTTTCCGGAATCAACCCAAAGGTAGACAGAATAAAGGTACAAAGTCTGTCAAAGGTCTGTCCCCTCCGCAGTTCTCGGACAGCAAAAAGACGCAGCTTTGTAATAAAAATAAAATCGCCCTTCTCTCCCAGTATCGTGGCAAAGGCCACGATACTGGTAACACGGAACATGATGCAGCACCAAGCTAGATGCAACCGCAGTGCCACCATTTCTGCCGCAGTGGCAACTCCAGGGATGACATATCAAAATGGAGAAAATGCAAGAGTCGCGCCATACTGCGGCTTTCTCGTGAACGGCAAAATCAAAATACGCACCAAAGTGAAAAAAAAAACAAAGAGCGTAGGCGCAGTTGGCAGGGTTGCAAGGGACGCTGAAAACCAGAAGTTCTCCCTTTTAGCATTGGCTGGTTTAGTAGGGCGTCACTCCATGTTACATCACGTAATGTGACACGCGGCATCTACCGATATCACCTAGAAGACAAAAGGCCTGCACAGAACGTCATCGTTAGCAGTTCCCGAAAGATTACCCATTTTCCGCCCAAATGCAGCACTAGTGGTCGAACCAGATGACACAAGTTTCCGAACAGGTACAGTTCCGAAAGAACACCCACCCAAAATGATGAGATAAATGGTGAAAAACATGGGGTGAGCTATCTTTGGGGATGCCACAGCAAAACGTTATCAAAATTAATGATAACACCGGGGGCACCACGTGACGCGGGAACTGATACTCCAGATCGCGGACACCGCAAAATCGCGTTTCACGATGCGATAAACACGCTAAAACTCGCTACGAACTCCTGTGTCATGGGCAGTGATTTCCCTACACACGCCCTCTTGTTTTTCTGAAGGCACTCCCTTAATTCGCACCGACTCCTCTAATTTCAATGCCCCCCCCCCCCCCCCCCCCCTAAAAATTTGGACACAACCCCTAATTTAAATTCTTGGGAAACCCCTGGTCACGGGAAAGGAGTCAAAGGACATCGCAGATTGCCGACGCGGCAGATTCGCGTTTTACCGTGCGAAGGACCCGCGGAAACCCGCCGAGAACTCGCATCTCACAAGCGTCCGTGGTGTGCATCCGCACACCACGGACGCAGCAGATTCAAGTTTTATGACGCAATATGAATACGCCGGGAACCCGCTGCAAACTTGCCTGTCACGGGAACCGATATCGCGCGCGCAGATCGCGGACAAAAATCGCGGGAATCCGCTACAACCTCTCATGTCACGGGATATCGGATACCGCACATCGCGGACGCAGCCGATTCGCATTTCACGATATAATATACACGCGGGAACAACTCGCGTGTTATTAGCGGGTGGGAGTCAATATCGCGCGTACAGATCGCGGACAAAAACGCGCGGGAACCCGCCACGAATTCGCTTACCAGACGCACGGGTAGCAGATCGAGGCGGATGCGATTGCCAGACTTGTACGTAACTTAAATACTCTAATCAAGTTACTGTGTCTTAAATACTTTTGTGATCGAGTAACTTGGTGTCTGGCAAATACTTTCGAACGTCAGTGTTTAGTACCCCAACTTAAATACTTTTTTTCAAGTGATTTGTACTCATTTTAAAGCAGTGGCGGATCCAAGGGGGGGGGGGGGGGGGGGGGCGGTGGGGGCGATCGCTCCCCCCTAAACGCCTTGCCAGGCACCCCCCCTCCCCCCCGGGGTTCTTCGTCAGCTCGAAGAAAAACGTAAGCAATCGACGCGAGGGACAAAAGATTAAAACAGCGGTGGGTGGACGCGCCTGCTGGGCGCTTCCAAAGTGGGATTTATCTCCGTCAAGGTCACGGTACGTCTTCCCGAAAGGGACGGCGCCAGGAGTTTCGAAGTGCGCACCAAATATCAGGGTCCTCGACTGCAGGCACACTTCCAAAACAAGGCCAGCACGTCGAGCACGGGGGGAAAATACCTTCAACATATCTAGTCCCCTTTCTCTGTCTCTCTCTCTGTCTCCCTCTCTCTCTTTGGGTTTTGTCTGCGAAAAATTTGTGCCCTGAAAGCTCCCAAACGCAGACCCAAGCAGCCTTCCTCAAGGGTACGATCTTATACACAGCGGATTATCCTTCCTCTCTAGTGGCTGCCTTTTCATCACTTTTCGTTTGATGGTTTCTTCGTGGTTCTGGGCTTGTCTTTTGGCATGTCTTCTATGGCTTGCTTTGAGATGATGTCGCCCACGGGCTCACTAAAGGTATATTATTGGCACGGTGTGCTCATTGCCAAGGGAAGCGCGGAGGGGACGTACCAGGAGGAGACGTTCCAGGGGGAAGGGGGGGGGGGGGGGGGGGGGGATTCAGCCTGTACAAAGAGGTGACCAATTGCTTTTCTTCTCAACTGAGGGAGGAAGCAAATGCTCTGGGTACAGTGTAGTCTGGGTCTGAGCTTCTCCTGAAGAAGCTCCGGACTTCCCCACGACCTTGGCTTAAACATAAGCCCTCTTTCGTCCTCGCCTCTATCCCTCACTGAGGATCAGCGCCGCAGCGCGGAATACAGAAAGAAGCCGACGAGCACCAGAAGGGGGAGATGTTTTCTCTAATGGGCTTCATACTGCCTGCGGTACGACTTCTCGTGGCGGGAAGCTAATAAAAGAAAGATAAACGGTACGAGCACTCTAAAGGCTGGAGGCTGCTTACACGGGGTCCTCAAGCCGACGCCGTAGGCATTTATTTGTATACAATGCCGTTTCAACTTAGCGTGGCGGGACATATTTTAGGAAAGGCGCCCGCTACCCCTTGTCTCCAATTGGCGCCGGCTTTACTTTTCGAGTTAAACGCGGCTTCTATGGATGGACGGCAGAGCTTTCGCGCGGCTTTGCAGGAGCGAATATGTATGTGTCGAACGGAACAGAAGCGGGGCTTGCTGGTTTGCAACTGCGGCTTCGAATTCCCTACCTAGGGACTTGGGGAAAACGAGCTCTTTCAAAGTGCCTGTGCCCGTTCGAGTGAACACCGATTCCCAAACATCCATGCTGCAGTCGTGATCGGCCTTTAGCCCAGTGAAGATTCGCCGACCGGGCAACTGTTCTGCCCCATCATATCTCTGCACCTGTCCTCTCGACCCTGACGAATGAGCTAACTACCCAGAATCATGTAAGTGTTCCTTTAATACAGAAAATATCCAGACGAAGTGCAATTGAATATAATTTGGAACGATCAATTGCTGGTTTAAGGTATTGTCTAAGTTGAAAAGTTATAGTTGCCGAACTGCAACATGCTTTCAAAAATATTCAACAATTCGCTTTCGTTCTCTCGAGTTGCACCCAGAACACGTGAAAACACGAGTTTGGGTTGACAATGCCGCATGAGCTGCGCTCTGGACATTCCAAATATACGGCGAACAACCGACGAACTTGCCTGGCAGCGTTCGGTTTGCTCGCTGCGTCAACAGTCCTTTGACGCCGCGAGCAGCGTCGAAACCGCCGGGCCATTTTGGATGCGGAGCATCTCTTGCTCGGGTCTATGTGTCTATGTCCCGCGGCGTCGTAGTCCGCACTCACACTATGCATAAGCAACTCTCCTCCTTCCCTCTCTCCAACAGCTGCGCGTTACATTTGGCGTTACTCTCTCCGCTCTCTCTCTCTACCAGCTGCGTGCACTCCGCGTGCGTTCGCTTCTACTCACGCCGCGCGCGCATGCGCAACTCTCCTCCTCTAGTCTCCTCTCCTTCAAGTGGTAACGCGCTGCGTGCGTTCAGGGGAGGAAGTGGCCGAGTGGGTTAAAGGGGTACTCCACCGAGTTTTTGAGCTACCTCAACTAACTATATTTTCTGACTCCCCGGCCTTTAGCCTTTCCGGTATGCCCTTTAGAATCGCGAAATTCATAATAGGTATTGTGAAATCGGCAAATGAAAATGATGCAAAAACAGACATTCAAATATACGCGCACTTTTCAGTGC